ATATATATATATATATATATATATGGGCTAGGGTAGCCGTGCGGACTAAGCCGCTTGCAATAGGAAACCAAGTTAAGCAACGGCGAGCGTGGTTAGCACTTGGATGGATGACCGCCCGTTTTGGGTTACAGTCCACCAGGGAAAGCCACTCTGCCCGATAGCCGTCCACACCCCCCCCCCCCCGGATTCGTGAGGCCCGTCAATCTACTGGGGGCAAAGATCTTCATGGTCTGTAGCTCTAACCGAAAAAAAAAAATAATAAAAAGTTTTCATAACTGTTGTGTTCTGCTGAGTTATAAGTCTTTATAGTATTACAATCATAAATTAAAAAATGTAAACAATTTACAATGTGAAACACTGCTGAGACATGCATGCCATAGTTTTGAAAAGCAGTGGTTATCTAAATCTAAAAATTTCCTTCACAACATTTTTTTATAGTAACATTTTTTTACATAAATGTAGATAAATATAATTTCATTTTTAAATTAACTGATACCTATACATTCGTACAGATACGAGGTAGTAGGGAACTCGAATGAGGGAACTCCTACTCAAAATTTAGCGTGGAGTCTATCCTCAGGTTTGGTCAGTGATAAGGTTAAAACATTCTACAAAAATAAATATCAGCTAAAGTTCATGATGGGAAATTTAATGGAAGTAAATAAGGTTATTCAACTTGGATGTAGTTGAGACAGAGCGGATAGTTGAAAGGACTATCGACTTTAGCTATTAATATCCAGCGGTAGCTGCCCCAGTTTGATCTGAGTCATAAATCGATATTCACCTGACCTAAAGCCCGGCTTCGAACCTCGATGGAGGCGTAATAGCTATTGCGTCAGTCTCGTCCCGTCCTCTTCAATTTTCAACGCTAATATTACTTTTTTTATTTCATTTTTTTTTCAAATTGATTTTATTTCATTGTACTATAAGTTCATTAAAACAGAATATACATTTTTTTTTATAATTTATTTATTTTCTCCTCGATCGATAAACATCCCTAACCGTAGCAGATTCAGGGTTTAATATGGAGTGGGGAGTTTTTTTTTCCTTCATTTTTATCACGGTAATCACTCCGGAGGGAGAAATATATATATATATATATATATATATATATATATATATATACATACTTTATTTTTATTGGCACGAGCTTAGTAGCTGTGAATGTGTTATAATTTAAAAAGAAAACATATTATGGTTAGTTTTAGCTCTGATCCTTAACGGAAACAAATATGGACCAATAAAAAAACATAAATCTACTTTGAGGATGACTTCAGACCGAAGCTCCATTTTCTTCGTCCGCCACTGATCCCTAAGATACTTCACAAATAACATCAAGTAGAACTGTTAGACATAAACTTTTTTTTTTTAATGCAGATACGAGTAAATAAATGTTACTCCCCAAAATTTCTATCTGTCACAATAAAGCTGTGTTTAAAAACTACAAAAGCAATTAGTATAATTAAAAATTAACATTAAGTTTATTGCGACAAAAGCTTAAGTCACATAATTGCTTGATAAATTAATAATATAAATGTATGTGGGCAGGTTTGATATGACCGATATGTATACCTTTCGGCAGTAATCGTTGCAAACTCAATTAAAAAAAAAGTCTCATTTTATTTCTTTATTTTTTAAGTAGTGTTACACTGAAAATGTGATAGGCGTTAAAGTAAGAGATTTTAATTCAAACTTTCGGGCCAAACTTAGAGTTAGAGAATAAAATAAAATAAAGAAGAGAAGAATAGTTGGGGTGGTCAGTCAAAAAATAAGGCAAAAATAAATGATAATATTTATTTTTATATATGCCAACGTTTCGACCTGAAGTTCAGGCCTTCATCAGGGCTAAGAAAATAACCAGATAACAAGGTATGAGAAACATAAGTAGTGATGGTAAAAAAATAAAAAAAATTATAAGAAATATTATGGAAAATCGAACGAAAGTTAATAGAAAGTGGATGGAAAATTCAAAAGAAAAATAACTGTTGGGTAATAAGGGAGAATAATTCAAATAAAAATATATCATATATATATTTATATACATAAACACACACACATATATATATATATATATATATATATATATATATATATATATATATATATATATATATACGTTTCGAGTCTTTTCGCTATACTAATTTTTTGAACTATTTGATAACCTTTTAACAAATCGTTAAGAAATTAAACAGTATGATAAAAATTTAGTTTTCTTTGTAATGTGAAATTTAATTATAGATGGACTAGAAAAAGATCCAATGGACTTTTGAGTCTACAGTATCATTTAATAATTTTTCAAAATAAAATAAAATGATTAAATTTGAAAGATTTAACTATCTTGGAAGAAAAAAATCTGGAGCGCGCAACACACAACTTTCACATACCACTATACATTGATTAGAAATTATTTTCTGGTGCTATAGGGCAATTATAAAGTTTTTGAAGTGCATTATTAACCGAGCAAACCGAGCTTACAGCTAACAAATCATTAATATCATTAAAATAATAAAACTTCTATTTATTATATAAATGGTTGATTATGGATTGTATGATCCGTTGATTATGGATCATACGACACTTAGTTAATAAACTATTATTTTCTATGTTTACTAAAACTTTACAAAAATGGAATTACGAAATTTTTATTGCCTGTCATAGATAGGTCAAAAGTTATCACACTAATTGTAAGTGCATACTGTTGGGATATCCCAAGGGAAAAAATCATCCAATTATTCGCGAATTAAATTTTCTAAAAAGTTAGATGATGATTTTTCGGAATAAACGGATGATAGATGCCTAATAATTTAAATATAATATTAGATCTAGAGTTATTAAACTACTGTAAATATATATTAGGTTAAAAACATGCCCATGAAATATATTTTATATTTCACTTTCACACAAGTACAATGAAATAGTATCTTAAACAATGTCGTTGCTTTTATTCCGTGGATTTTAAATATTTTTTGTCAAATTTAAAATTTACGTTTTGTAAGAAAATTTCATTCAATTTCCTTGAAAACATGTGATTTACGTTAAATGATGTTAGTTTTCTAAAATTATTATTTATATGTTTTTTCGTCAATCTCCGTTACCTTCTACAACTTTATTTATTAGATATTATTCTTCTCAAATTCTCGACATATTATACGTATACCGTCCGACTATTATTTTCAGATTGATTTTCGACCTGGATAAGCAATTTTCTCCTTTATTAAATTATCAAATTCTTTCAAAAGTTATATTTTGCCTTTTTTCATAGCTCCTAACAATGAAAGATAGTTAATAATTTAAAATAAATCAAATTAAAGGTAAAAAATAAACCTTCCCCATGGAGAGTACACGACGACTAATAGTATCTTTCGACACAACACATTCCCTGGCAAGTTCGCGAATACTTGTAAACGGATTTGACTCAACAGCTTCCTGCAGAACCTCACAATATCTATTAATGGTCGCCCGGAGCCGTTCTTCCTTTCCAACATCGTATCTTCACTGCTAAATGTTTCAAACCAACGCCGCGCAGTGCGCTAGTCAGGGACACCTTCCCTTCCATATTTAATAATTTCACGAGTTGCTTCAGCGGCTGTGAATCCTTTTTCCAGTAATGCCTTAAAATTACGAGAATTTCGTAGGACATTGTCATGTTTCTTCTATGAAATAAATAACTAAACTGAGCCTTTTTTTTAAAGAAGTCTAATTGGATTAAACAAGCTTAGAGAATACTCTAAAGGTATTATTAAGTATTGGTAAGTACTAAATAGGATTACAATATTAACAGTCTTCTTTACAGATATCAAATATTTACAGAAATCTTGAATTTGATAAAACGTCATTTTCTTTTATACACCCTATTATACACACACACATACATATTTATTTATTCAAATATATATTTTTATTAGTTCATTATATATATATATATATATATATATATATATATATATATATATATCCTTATTCGCATTAACTAATGATCAAAATAAAACCTAATGTACATTACATTTTCATTATGAGTTGACGAAGTTATTTATAAACCAAATTTATCAACAATCCATTATATTTAATAACAAACTGCCTAAAACAGTGTCAGTGTTAATTTAATTAACAATGTTAGTGCATTAATATTTTTTATTTCGGAATCATATTAAGTCTTATTTTATAAATTATTATAAAAATTATCATTGGTAAGTCAAGTAGAATCAGCAGAGAAGGGGCGAGAACCGGCATAGCGCTTGGGTATGGCGGGATAGTCTAACCCATTTTTATATTTCATTTATTTTTTTATTTTTCTTCAACCCCTTAAACCGTTTTATTTCTTTTCGTTTAAGAAATAAAACTATTTACTGTATCACTAAGTTGATCATGAGATCGATTGAATCGTTTTCGGATAACATAAATTATATTTTTACAACATTCTAGAAACAGAATGATTTAGATTCATACTAGAATAATATCCAATCCAAAAAGCATACTTTAAGTTAATAAATAAAACAACGAGCTAACAAAAAAAACTACTAAATGTCCGTATAACTATAATATTGATTAGAAAAATCATTCAATAGTTGTACTAAAGTGGAGACGATCTAATTAGAAAATTCTATTCTATAATTAACTGAAATAGCTGACACACGTAAAACACTTTAAAAAAAAATGTTATGATGGAAAAACTAAATATACCGTGGTATAGTGGGTTTGATATATTCAGAAACGTAAGCCAAATCACTGTGTTCCTATATATATTTGTATAGCTTAAAGATCGCACTTAAACATTGAAGAAAAACAAAAATCGATTTCTGAAACTAGCGCCTTAATCAGAATCCAGTTCTGAAGAGTAGCTAACAACAAAACGAAAGACTAATGGCCGTTTTAAAATATATCAAAAATATTCTCTATATAATTAATTATAGAATCTTAATATATACTAAAGAAAACGTCGCTTTTTCAGTTCTATTTCTCTCCTTTAATATTGCCTTTAATTCTTGTTTTGTAAAGATGAAGTGTAATTAAACGACTGTATATTATCCAATTGTCATTTGCTTAGAAGAAAACTCCATCGCAATAAATTATACGAAGCATTCAAAGCAGGACGAAGAATTGATCAGGTTGTAAATAGAAGATGTTATACATAACGGCGAGGGGGGAAGGGCTGAAGGTCGTCTCTGACGTCACCGACTGACTCACCACGGCCCTACGCCATGGATACCCCCTGCCTCCGTCACATCGACCCTTGGGTGGCATTATAAATCTTTGATAAAAAAATAAAAAAAAATAAGCGAAATAAAAATTCAATACAAACTATTACAAAAAAAAATCAAAAATAATAAATAATAAAGGCAGAGTAGAATTTTACTAATCCTAAAAGAAGGAAAAATTCCATAATAAATACAAAGCTGAAACTAAGCCCGAGTTAATGAAAACATATAGCCCTATTTATTTCTTTGAATAAACCGAGAAGGTAAATGAACCCTTACACCCAATGGTTTGGGACACAAAGTAATTTCTGTAATAATAAAAACAGATTATACATGAAAATAAGCCTTGCTCAACATAATGTATTATTATTATTGTTATTTATATATAAAGCATTTTATATAAGATTTTTTAATTTATATAATAATAAATATCAACTAAAACTAAACCTCAGCCAAATCATTAAAACAGTTCTATTAAGGTTGTCTCTCATGCTTTATCAAGAAGGGTTTGGGACTAATATTGATAGTCAGATAGGAAATGAATCTACAACTTTGCAAAACAGAATTCACTAATAAAGAGGTAAAGTAACAAAAAGAATGCGACACTATTACATTTCAAGGGGTTCATGTAACAAATGGATACAGTAATAGACGCAAATGATTTTTATAATAGCCATTTTAAAATCTCTTGTAACATCCATTCTGAAAGTACTTATAATACAAAAACAATAATACATGACAAAGTAAAACAAAAAAATTAGAATTCCTGAATTTCATACTCACATGCAACAAATAACTGTGAATATTTAACATAAAACCTACGCAGAAAAGATGGCACTTGAATTATAAATCACAAATTTAGATACAGCATACTCATATAATTAACAGAATCACACTTATTCAACAAATGATCAGGATACCTTTGTAAATGACAGGCAACCTATAGTTATCCGTCCTGACCTTTTCCAGAGCAGATAAACAATTACTATATAAGACCCAACCAATAATTAAAATAGGATAACAGATAAAAATAAAATATTGAATTAATATCACCTTTGATTTGTCTAACACAAATTAAAATAATTTGTAATTTATTTTGAAATACAATAGATAAGCCTTGCCCAGGAAAAAAGCTACAATTCGAAATTATGATCACGTATAAAGGATCCTAAAAACTATAGGAGACAAATACTGACTTTTATAATTAAAATAATAAGAACTAACAGCAATAAATGGACCAAAAATCCAGTGTCTGAAACTACTACAGATCTTTAGATAATTAATTGCCTTAATTTGGATATTAATACTAATAATTATTATCATTGAAAATCAATTTTCTATTACCTACTCTCTATATCCAGAAAAACTGAATGAATAAATAAGGAAGACATCTTCATATTTTCATTTACAAAAGTAAGGCAATAATAACTTAAGGCTTATCGATGCTTACATTTGTAAATATAGTAAGGCAAACCACAAACCATGGTTTGTTAATCTTATTTACTTTTTTCCTAGATTTAATAACTGCTTTAATATTATCCCTGATCTCTTCCCAAAACTTGTCAATATCCTCGTCAAAAGTTTCTAAAGCTTCAAACCTATTCTTAACATCTAGCTCAAATTGAGTTCTAATTTTCATGGGTAACGAAAAAAAAAAAAATTACATTCCGAGATCCTTAGAACCTATACAGTTAGTTCCCTAATGATAATAATAATAATGCTTCATTGAAAATCTAATAAAAAATTAAACTATGAAAAAAAAATACAAAACATTTTACGGCATGGAAATCCGTCTACCAGAATACATTTTTCTATATTCTCTTAATATTTTCCTTTTGAGTTCTTGTGTGAAAATGATTAATGCAATTGGAAAGATCACTTTTAATCAGTTCGCAAAGAACTGAATCAATGCCTTACAAAAAATTACAAATGTTACAGTTCTCATGTGAAAAATGTAAATTTTGATTTTTAATAGTTTAATTGTTCTTTGTATATTCTTCATCCACCACATCTATAATAATTAATCAGTAGCAATTAGGTATAACTGCAATTTTTATAAATTAAATAACAATAACAGAAAAAGCTGAGATTGCACTAGCTAGTGTAATAAACATTCTTACTACATTCTTAATTGCTCATAACGTTGTTGATTTTTTCTCTTCTCTACAATTTGTTTTATGGATAATAAATAAAGCTGTATTTGAGAATTTTCAATTCAATCTAAAGAAATTTTGTGTACTATTTACCAATATATTCATCAATAAGCCTTAACTAATTACTGAGTCACTTCTATAAACACAATATTCAAATAAAAAATTAAAATAGATTACTCAGGCATCAATTGTTAGCTTTCATAACATTTATTTTTTGAACTTATCTTCTTGTGGAGACAAATAAAATAATGCCTCCAAATGAAAGTGAAAATCAGTCAGATTAGTTGATTTATTAAATGGTTTTGATACAACAGTCATTTCAATTAGTTAAAAAAGGATTTTCAAAGCTATATTCTTTAATTATCATTTATTAATTTGAAATATATGAAAGTCTAGGAAATCTTATATCAAATAGGACTGAATTCTTCAAAAGTTTATACAGTGATTTAAAATTAAAACTCTACACCTTTTCAACAATCACTTAAAATCATCTCATTCTATTTCCTTCATGCTTTCGCATATTGAATAGTTTGATTAGGTATTAATCAAGTTCTCATCTAACAAAATAAATAGATTTTATTAAAAGAATTGAAAAAATGTTTTCTTAATAATAAAAACAAACTTTTAAAATAAAACCATGTTTTTTTCTAGGGGTCGACGGAATGTAAGAATGTTGATTTTAAAAGTTATTTTGCTTTTGTATGAGACAAAATTCATCTGCATTGAAAATATACTAAAACACAATATTGTGAGCAATGTTAGAAAGTAATGAACTCCATAAAGATATCTTCTTTGAGTTCAATTGTATAGCAGTTATTCCAAATTGTTGGGTTCATACAATATCATACTTAATTTGGATATTTTATGTATTCCAAACACATAAATCACTGTAATTAATATTTCATAACATAATTATAATTTTAACCATGGCTAACAGAGGACGGTGACTTTGAAATAATTTTCTTAACTGCAGCTTCAATATCAAATAAATGAGTATCATTGCATTGAGGTACAAGTTTTCTCATAGCTGTGGCCAATTGAAACAAATACTCAGAATTAGATCCACTTGGGCCTGATGATTCAGAGATTTGTTTGGCTATATCTTCAATCTTGGCTTCACCAAGAAATGATGTATTATCTCTAGTAGCGATATATAAAAATAAATCAAATGGTTCTTCTGGATTATCTTTAGGATAAAATTTCACAGTAGATCTCTCATAACCATTTTTCTCACGGTAATCAAGATGCTGGAGAACACTTTCAATGTTTTCTTCTGCTATTTCATAAGCAACGCCCCATACTACATCCTATAACACAAGGACACTATTATTTCTGGAATATATATGATATAATACAAAAGCAAATATATTTTGGTACCGTAATTTTAATTTATTATTGGATTATGAACAATAATAAATGTTCATCCATTTTTTAACAAGATATTGAAGTTATTATTTATTTTTTTATAAATATTTAATTACATAATAAATTTTGACAATTAAAAATTATCTTATATTAATCAGAGTATAAATGAGGCATAGGAGTTGGAGCATAAGGATAGCAATATTATCTATTCCTATGTAGAGGTAATTCATGTTTATTTTACTTTTCCACTCTGCCAGTCTAATCCATGTACTTAAATAACACTTAATTTTTTCAAGGATTTGATGTTTTTAATTTATTTTAAGCACACTCCAACTGAGAAAAAAAAAGTGGTGCGTTGCACACATCACACAACTTTCAGATACCAACCTGAGAGTAGATAGATATTTTCATATATAGGAGACACAATGTGAAAACGACTGTATAACTTCATTTAAAACAATTAATTACCATGCATTTTTCGAATCTGTTAAATTTACATGTTTGCATCACTTTCCATTTCTGTTTATAGTACCAAGCAACAATAATGGTTATGGAGAAAAACAGATCTTTTGAAAAAATTCTGATTTTTATCACAAAATCATCGGTAGAATAAATTAACTTTAAAAAGTATTGTATATTACTAGGTATATGTTAGTAAATTCTCAACATTTTGAATGAAAAACTTTTTAAAAAGCCCAGACCAGAGAGGATCAGGCAAGGTCGTCAGGTGCTCCCAGCGGTATCCGTCTATATTCCAACCCTTATTTCTCTGTTAGTTACCAATTATTCTTCTTGATGCATTATATTTAACTAACTATTCTTTATATTATTCAAAAATGTGAAATGATTAATCATTTCAAATAAAAAAAATTAAAGGTACTTTAGAAGAAGAAATTTTGAAAATTGAGCATTTAAATAATGTTAGAGAACATTAATGAGAATAAGACCTGCATTATATTAAAAACGCTTAATTATACACTGATACAATAAATTTAATCAAAATCATTAGAGCCGTTTCTGAGAAAATGTCTAAAATCAATGACAAAAGGTGGCACTTCGGGTTAGCCGATTTTGATGAAAACATTGCTGTAACATCCCAGGCATGTACAAATCTTAAATACGCAAATTCAGTTTCATACAACTTTTTGTTTTTGAGCTAGACTCTACATACACACAGAAAAACAGACAAAGTTCCCTTACTATATATTACATATATAGATAAGTGAAAGTAAAAATGGGTAGTACACATATTTCTAACCTATTCAAGCCTGATATCATTCATAAATCCTCCTTCCCTAAGAAAAGAATTTAAATTTGATTTAAATATTTGGTAGTAAAAATTATATATATATATATATATATATATATATATATATATTAATAAATAATTTATCTTTGCAGACAAATAAACAAAGAAAATCAGACAAATTAAATTTATTAAATGGAAAATTAAGCAGCTCATTTTATTATCCATGAAAAAAATATTTGAAGGAAATTAAAAAGAAAATTACAAATTACTAGTAAAATATTAACAAGGAAAAAATTAAAGACAAAACATAAGAAAATTATCATACAAAGTTCACTCAGCACTCACCCTTAAAAAACAATCAATTTTAAAATAAAATTTACATGCACCTGATTCTACTTTTTAAAAAAGTCTTTAAGCCTTTTTCTCAGCCTTTGACAATAATTATTCAATTCTACTAATTAATTTACAAATTATGAAAGCTTAAGCAATATGTTAAGGTGAATCTTTTAGATTATGAACAATGAAAACATGTTTGCGATTCTTGATCCCACTGACATAAAGTTTCCTGGTTCATTAAAAAAAAGAAAAAGAAAAGATATGCCATCAAAGTAAAGGAAAAGTCTTCTCATATATGAAAACATCACCAAACCATAAAGGATCATTTATATACTCAAACATATACCTTTATTCATCAAATAGTAACAAAATTACATTTGATGTACTTGTCTACATCAAACCACATCTTTTTTAAACTTCTTTGGATAAGAATATACTTTTGATTATTGATAATGGTTTATTAAAACACGGTTTTATCCACTCCGATTTATTTATCTTTTTAGTTTTTTGTTAGAATGGTCTATATTCAAGATTCTTTAACAGAACACCTTCCACTAACAGGGTGGGATACATTGTGTGGAAGTATAGATTCTTTTCCTTTGCAAAAACTGTTCATTGATCTTATGTAGATAAGTTTTATCACCTAAATTTTATCCCTGATATGAAAAAATAAGTTAAATTGTTCAAAAAGAATTAGTCTAACTGTTTAGAAGTAAAGTTTTAACATAAAAATTCAAAAAGACGTGGTTTTATAACAGTAATGATTATATAAGTTCCTAGTAATTAAATATAAATTTTGTCACCTTGACATAAATATAACTTTTAGTATGAAAACAGATGGTGGAAAAGGGTGGGAATCAATTAAACAGGAGGAAATTTTAAGAGTTGAGTTATTTTCCAGAAATTATTTTTCTCTAATATATTATATTGTGAAACCTAAAAAAAATATAAATATAAAAATGGTTATTAAAAAATGTATTCCATTCTCGGACATTAAACAATTAGATTCAACTTCATTAAAAAATATATATGCAAACAATCCAGAGATCTAAAAATCTTGAAATTTTTACCATTAAAAAATAAAAGTTATTTGTTTTGAGTAAAAATAAATATTTGTACTCTTATAATTAACCATATTTATAATTGTACATTAATGCATAATTTTTCTAGAAATACTTATGATTATGCCAGATAAGTACTATCTCCTTAGTCAGTACAGAATGATTTGTAAAAAATTGATAGCAAGTACCAGTCCCAGAAAAAACTGTTTTAAAAAGAAAAAACAGGAAAAAAAAAAAGATAACACAAGTAATTGAGCGAATGGAATTTAACAAGAGATTAATAAGGTATATAAAACTAAATTGGTCTGAAAAACACACACCTTAAATTTAATGAAATTTTTGGAAGGATCAACAAAATAATTGGAATGATTGGATCATTATTCATTGGTGGTAGGGTAAGTATTCCCTTGCTTTCATTCTTGAAAGCTCAAAGATCTACTCATTATTTTGTAAAAAATATTTAATAAACATGAAAAAACTTAAAATCTAAAGACAATATAGTCACAGTTCCAACAGAAATAATTAATAAAATCATAGGGCAAGGAACCAGTATATTGAACCATTGAGTTTTCTTTTTATGAATTAATATAATTGTACAACTTACATCTTGGCTTGAAGTTGGTAGAAGAGTTACTACACGCCCAGGCTGAAAAATAAAAATAAGTATTTCATGTAGAAACTAATCTAAAATAAAAAGAAATGTGGCAACATCAAGGTTAATTTGACAACACCTTTTCTGGTACTCCTCTATGGTCAATACTAGCCTGATAAAATCTCCTAAGGTATCCTTTGACATGTCCAATCATTTTACTTTTGATTGGAAAATCAACTTTCCAAATCAGAGATCCATAGCCAAACAACCACATTTTTATTTAATTTCAGGCTTCAAGTAGATCAATACTAACTCAATTTGAGTAACGGCAATCAAGAACACTTTCAATAATTACATAAAATGTGTAATTGAAGTCCTGAAGGCCAGTTTGGCCAACAGGATGAAATTCACCCATTTCAAACTACCGAGGAAGATTATTACATGGTTATCTATTCTCAGCTGATTGTTTAGGTTAGTTTGATAAAAGAATTAAAATAAAGATAAGCATTAAGTTATTACAATTTGAAAAACAATAGAACATTTTTATATAACGTGATATATTCTTAATTAATATTTTGTCAAAGTAGTTAAGTTATCATATATTTTATTATATTAAGCAATTTAGTACCTTGTCTAGCTGTCAGAAGGTAATGGCGGGAATAAGGGAACCAATCAAAGAAACAAAACGATCATTTACATAGAAGGTTAAAACATTTGAGTTTTAGCCCGTGATTGACCATTAATTTATTACATGTTTTCTTTTAATTTAATCACAGTGTTTTTAATTTATGTCTTATCTCAATTTTATTCTTAAAAATGGGTATTCAAGGATTGCTTTCATTTCTGGACAAAGCTTCAAGACCTGTGAATATTTCAGAGTTTTCTGGTTGCACAGTTGCTGTTGACACTTATTGTTGGCTACATAAAGGAGCTTTTTCATGTGCGGAAAAATTAGCAAGAGGAGAACAAACTGATCAGTAAGTATATGTGTGCAAAATTTAATTTTTTAGTTGTAGCATTGTGTATTTAAATATAGATCAAATTCTACATTTATATTCTAGGTATGTAAACTACTGCATGAAGTATGTAAATATGCTGTTGTCTTTCAACATAAAACCAATTTTAGTCTTTGATGGTCGTCATCTACCTGCTAAGGCTGAAACAGAAAAGAAGAGGAGAGAGTGAGATAAATTTTATTATATCAATTTTTAATTATTAAAACTACTGGTGATCACTAATTTTGATTATTTAAGATTACGAGAAAGTAATAGGAAACGTGCAGCTGAACTGTTGAGATTAGAACGAGATTCTGAAGCAAGAACACTTATTCAGCGATGTGTAGATGTTACTCATGAAATGGCTTCTAATCTAATGAAGCAATGTCGTGCTCAAGGAGTTGATTGTATTGTTGCTCCTTTTGAAGCGGATGCTCAATTAGCATATATGAATCTGACAGGATTTGCTCACATTATAATAACAGAAGATTCAGATTTAATGTTATTTGGGTGTAAGTTGGTAAGTTTCTGTAAACAGTAATTCTCTTGATGTTATCATTTCTGTATGTATGGTGGTTTAATATCATGTGGATTGTATAGAACATGGAATGCTGAAATCAGCTGCTCTTCCTCTATATTATTTAAGTTTGATGGTTATTAAAATCATTACTGCTTCGATTAAATCCTTAGTTAGAAGATCCTTCAGGGATTCTTTTCAGTAGGGTTGGGGCCTTACCAAAGAGGATTTCATTATCAGCACTGAAGAATCCTTTTAAATAGTTAATGAAAAACCTTCATCTCCATGAACAAGAAAATTTGTGGCTTGATAAGGTCCCACTGAAACTGAAAAGGATCTGTTGGGGATTTTTTTGTCTTAAATATAAATGGTATTCCAAAAGTTTGATCTAATTAATGCAGTAATTTAAGTTGCCAATAATAATTACAGTGAACCAGAATCAGGATCTCAATAAATTAATTGGATCGATTTCCATTATATACTATTTTTTATTATTAGTTTGTATAAAGAAACAATTTTTCATATTTAGATTTTAAAATTAATGGTTTCTTTCTCTTCCTCCATATACCATTAGATGTGAAAAAGTCTTAATCCATCTAAGCTAGTCCTACATCAGCTGGATCATTTGTATCCATAAATGATTTACGGGGGGAGCTTTCGGGCTGAAGCCCCCCTCAAAACGGAAAAGTGTAACCATGTTTTATAGAAAAAAATATTAAAAACTATCTCTTAAATTATTATTGTTCGTGTAATTACATTTAATAGGACTTCAAGAATCACTTAAACACCATTTCATATAGGTAGTTCATTTCTTTCTTCTTCTTTTTCAAATTAATTATCGTTATATATATATATATATGAAAAAAAATGTTTCGGTCTAAACCCCTCCTGTTAAATCCTGGATCCGCTAGTGTTTGTGCCTGCACCTTTTATCTATTGTTCCCAGCATCACGTTCCACTATATCTATCTGCAAACTCATCATTGATTTTCCTCCACTCTGACAGCCAAAGTCGCTGTGTAGAATATGGTGATTTCTCAATAGTACTTGAGGATAGTCTGAAGCAAATCTTATTATAAACTGCTTATTAAGACTTGTCATCGCTACCTTGAGATGGTCTCATGTGTCCCATCTGTATGGTGAGTTGAAGTTGCTTTTCCCCGCCTTCCGCCGTCATTACTTCCTCAGATCTTTCTTATACCGAACGATCAACACTTAGCACCCTTCCTACATCTTCCGTCTTTTTCAGCTCAAACCCTCAGTCCACTCATAGAAAACAAGATCCAGTGTTTCTGAGCTCTATACCCTCTCCCATAAAACTGAAACCTTTGAATGTTTCTTCGTAATCCACTGTGTTGCCTTCTGAAATTTCTTGCCATCTAACATCCCAGACAGATACTTTGCAATCTTGATATTACATTTTATGATTGGAATTTTTCTGGCAGTAAATAGTAATTCATACTGTTTATGTTTTATCATATAAAAATCAATGGTTTTCTTTACTTATTCTTGTTTTTTTTATTCTTCTTTTCTTCAGAGTTTGCTTCTTTTTTTTTCTTTACAATTATATGTATTTTTTTTAATATTTTACTTTCAGCTGTTTACGTATTATTATTATAGTTACTGTATATATTGTTAGAATTTTTGTTAAATTTGGAATTGTTTTTCTTAAGGGATCTTGTCCCAAATTAAGTTTATTTTTCTATCTATCTGACATGACAATTATTTCAACTGACATTTGTGTAAAGAATTGTTAAAGGCAGGTATTTCTATGTCCAGCCTGATTCTTTTATTGTTGTCACTATCTCTTCTGTTTTATCTGCAACTCTGCTTGGATATTACATGTCAACCTAGCAATTCTGTTAATATGTTAGTCAATTGTAAACCAACTCAAATCTTATGTACTTCATTTATTAATAAAACGTCTCTAATTAATATGTATATTTTTATAATATAAACGAAGCATTAATGTTTTTAAAGATACCTCTTGAAGTGAATACCGTCATAATTTAACAGATTTTCTTTACAAATAATGATTTGATACCTTAAAATTGCCAAAATCCTTATTAATTTTTTATAATATGTTCTGATTTAAAACCATAATAGTTGTTAACTGTTATCAATGATAGATATTCACTGCCAGACATTGTAAACCAACACCATTATATTAAAGTACATTTCATTATTCTATTTTTTACAGCGCAACTGTTACAGGTATGCTTAATATTACGGTGTTTTTTACTTCATTTGTATGAAGTGTTTTCGGATGTACATATCAAGACAATTAAAGGTTATTAAAAATAAAGACTTAAGCTTGCTTATTCCTAAGAGATAAAGTCTGTTTTTTATTATTAAAATTGTTCACTATTATGGAAACAGTCTCTGCCTTGTTTGGGCTCAGTGATTTGTGGATGGTTTGTTTATTTATTTTTCTCTAATATCCGTGGTATGTACTCTTCTGCTATCATTCTGTTTGTTTAGATATTGTATATCAATTCATATTTTTAAAGAAAACTATAAGTTTGTTTTGTTCAGCTTTTCTTTTTTTTACTGCTTCTATGTAAAACATTTTCTGTTGGACTGGAGTTTTGGTTTAAACTTCTTTCTTATACAGTCAGGATTCTACTCATCTGATGTGCACCATGCAGTTTAAATAATACACAGAAATTATGACAACTGCTAATATGACACCAATATCCTCTAATGGCAGTTCGTTAACAGGATTTGAATAGTTATTGGTAATAATGTAATTATCAATCTCTTTATCATATCTTCAATTTGATTTTATATTGATATTAAAGCTAATTTTCTTTTCATTGTTAAATATGGTATCACAGTAACTTCTAACTACCAAATGTTAAAAGGACAATTCAATGATAAATGATTCGTAGGAAAATAATCTACAGACCGTAATACACCAGGTTCTGAGAATTTCGTGGAGTACTTTCTATTCAACAATTCTAAAATGTTGCTAGAAAAAGATCACCTTTAAGGTAGGAACATTGACTCTTCTTATTGGTGTTTTTTTTTTTTTTTTTTTTTTTTTCTTCTGATCCCTCTGAAACAAAACAAATCATGATATCAGTGTCATATCGGACCAATGCACTAGCGGAACGATACTCTGAATTACCTTGACCTTTTTCTACCTGTGGTATTTGAAGGTGCGTTGAATGATTTTGGTTAGTTATCTCTTCCTGCCCACTTAAGGTCTTGATAAGATGTTTGGAGTTGAGGATCCTCCGCTCGTTAAGTGAAAAATATAAAATAAAATAAAAATTAAGCATAAAGATAAAATAAGGAGGGGGGGAGGAATAGGGATAGGGATGGGGATGGGGAGGGGAGGGACTAGCCGTGAGGCGGGTTAAATGATTATGTTGGTGGGGTTTATTGGACCCTTGCGGCTTGCCATCTGGCAGGAGAGGGGGCTGGTGTGATGGATCGGAATAATGGGTTAAAGGATGCGGGGAGGTTGTCGAAGAACTTGATATATTCTTCTTGAAATATGTTGTTGCACAAAGTCGAGTTGTAGTTCGTTATGGATGTGTTTCATGTTTGTCTTTCTAATGTTGTCCCTTTGCAGATCTTCATGAGTATGCTGTTCTGGTATTGTTGTAGTTTCTTCAGGGCTGTGGGATATAGGTAGCGTAGGAGGGGGGCACCGTGGAGAAGTGAAGGTCTGAGTATGGCTTTATATATGAGTAATTTGAGTCTGAGTGACAGCCCTGGAGAATAGAATAGATGGCGGAGTTGATATGTGGTGGATTTTAGTGTTTGTATTCTGTGTTGTATGTACGCTGTGAAAGATAAATGTGATTTGAGTTTTATTCCTAGGTATGTGAGATGTCTTTTTGTTTTTATAGTTTGACCGTTAAGTTCAGGGAGTTTTTCAGTTGTTTTCTTGTATAAGAATGTGATGGCATCGGTTTTTGCGGGGTTGATGTGGATGAATTATTGGTGTTCATTTAGAATAACAGGTTATATTGTGACACCTTCCAATTTATTCCAACACCTTTGTTTCAGTGTGACTGAATTTAAATTAAAAAAATTTTGCTTTTCCATCGCTGGGTTACCTTTGAATGATTTTTCTCATTGTCATTAAAATATCAGTATTTTATTTGATGTCTTTAAAAATAAATATTATCTATAATATTAATTCTTATCATTGACTGAATTAAGGTTAAGAAAACAACCAAAAAGTAAAAAAATAGTTTTTTCTTAAGATAAATGGATATTTCTGAATTTGGTGCCCTCTAAATTCTGCCACCAAGTGCAAGTGCCCCTTTTGCCTTTCTCTGTCTGCTGAAAGTGTTAGCGATTCTGGTTCTCTTCATCTACAATTTACCTCAAATTTGGTTGTAATATATTTGTCTAAATTTGAACAAAAATAATATATTTTGGGGTATTTGTTAAAAAATACTCGCTAGTTTGCTTAATCTGTTTATAAAGCTTAGCAAAATACAAAAGAATTTTTCTCAATGTACTCACAATAGTATTGTGCTTCTTGGTACTTCATTTGATTGGTAATAATTTTTATCTCATTTTTAGGTACTTTTTAAAATGGATTTGAATGGAAATGGTGTTTTAATTGAACAGCAGAAAATTCCTTTAGCCATGAAACAACACCCAAATCAGTTTTCAATGGACAAGTTCAGATACATGTGCATTCTTTCAGGTTGTGATTACCTCAAATCTCTTCCAGGAATAGGACTGGCTAAAGCCTGTAAATTCATCAAGAAAACAGCAGATGATAATATTAAAAGGGTAACTTATTGTAGCAATCAATACTATTTTTGGTTTGTAAAAATAATATTCATACAATATGCAAGTGAAAAGAAATTTAAATTTATGAGCTATAATGTTTCTTATTATTGGATAGCTATTTATTAATATTATTCATCTATGAAACCTGATGTGCTGAGTCAGTTATTTATTTTTTTCTATTCAATATAATCTGATATGGTAACATTTAGTCTGTGAATAACTTAAACTGAAAACTTATATTTTCATTTATGAGGTATTACGTTTAGAAAAGGCTATATTTTACAGGAGGCCTTGACTCTACAGGAGTTGTAGCCCCACAGAAGATGATGATATATTTTGCATTGTCTTGTTTAGTATTATAATATTAAATTAAACGTATTAGAATTATTAGGAATAATTAAATAAATAAATATGGAAAAAATAAACAAATAATAAAAGAAAAGTTTATTACTACAATCCATGAAGGGTCTTGAGTACAGTACTATGTTGGGAATTACTGTTTCTTGATCATAGCTTGTGCCAGGTGGTGATTTGACCGAGATCATGCTCAACTACCAGGTTGTTCAAATCCATGAACAAAAAGCTGATTCTTTATTGCAACATGTTTGATGTGGAATGTTAAGCTAGACTCTTAGAAAACTGCTCTACCAGCATATTTTGAGCTTAAATTAGTTTTCAATCAATTTATTGATGTAAATAACTGTTATAGTAATTGTACCATCAAAGGTAATTAAATCACTAAGTGCTTTAATGAAAGTACGACTGATTTGATTCCAACCCTGTGAAATTAATTCAAGTACATTGTACACCTTAGTGAAAATGTACTTGAAATATTTAAAAAGTAGTGTCATTTTGATGAACTTACTGTTTCAGTAGACCAGGTCAAAATAATGAAAACATATTCAAAAGTTATATTTCATCAAAAATGTACTTAGCAACTTTTTTCAATAAATTTATGATTAATTAATATATTTAGTATGTTATACAAATCTGTTAATTTAAACCAATATAAATTTGATTATTTAAATTGTCAACTGGAATAATTTGTAATGGGCTTGTAATCAGATTAGTAAGAATTAAGTTGATAGGATACTTATTAAACATTTACTTATATTACTTAAGATATAAATTAAATTAATTTATATGAATATCACCTATTTAATTTATTAATTTCTTCACAGGCACTCACAAGGTTAGGAGCATATTTAAATATGCCCAACTTAATAGTGACTGAAGACTACAGAGATAAGTTTGTTGAAGCTGACCATATGTTCAAGTATCAGCCTGTCTTTGACCCTTTGACTCGAAAAGTAGTTACTCTGAATCCTCTTCCAGATAATATTGACAGTCCTTTGGCAGATTCCCTCAGTAGAGAAACTAGTTATCAGCTAGCTCTTGGCAATCTCAATCCTTTTACTCTGAAGCAGGTCGATTCCTGGAATCCAGACGAACCACAGGTGTTTTTATTCTCTCATGTATCATTTAGTTTGGAAACATTTTATAAATATTAATTTCTATAGATTTAGTTTATTTCGCAACATATTTTTTATAGCTAAATATTTCTTTTTCAATCATCGACAGTATTAACTTTCAATTGATATTTAGTTCATACTTAAAAGGGATACCTCCTATCTTTATGTTTATTATTTTTCATTCCAAGTATACAAGACATTAATTGACATTCTTAAGACAATTATTAATATTTTAAATTCATGGAAAATAGATCAATCTAATTGACATTTATAGTAATGTTTCCCGAATCACTCAAGTTTAAGATAAATACAAATTTCATACCTAAAATATTCCTGGAAGATATTTTGCCATAGAATGAGGAAAAAAGTGCAAGATAGTATTGACACTCAAATCCACCTCAATTACTGTTTAACGACATTTTTACATACTAACAGTTTGATGACCTTTCAACACAGTTAATTTCTTTCTTTTATTTGAAACTGAACATTTTCTTGAAAGCTTATTTTTTTTGGGTTAACGATAGAGTGTCAATAATAGTATGGTTTACACTTGGTGTTCTTCAGGATTTTTAATTGAATTTTGTTAACATGAATAGTGTATACTAATGATTCTACTGATTTTTGTCTGCTATAATCCCAAGAATGAGCTTATTGAAAATCAAATTTGATATGTTGGCTTACTACCTTATACCACAGATGTATAAATTACAAACAGATTCCAATATTAATAATGTTTCTTTCTTCAGGCCATTAAAACCAATGGTTGGAAAACTACTGTTCAAAGGCATAAAAGTATTTGGTCTAAGGATTACCAACTCCCTCCTCCTCTTCCTCCTAAGAAAGACCCACGAGATGTATCTCGGCCAACTACCAAAGGTAAAATAGCCGTGCAGCCTATTTCTACTTTAACTGAGAAAATTGCATCTTTGCCTTCAAAATCTGGTTGGTATAGTTTTACTTAGATTTTAAAAATTATTTTTAAGTTACTGAGTTTTTCATCTAAAATATCATTTTTTTTTCAGACATTGGAGAAGAAATTAGTAAATTACGTGAATCCTATGGATTTAAAACACCTATTGCAAATAAATTATCAGAATCTGATAAAAAGGTAGAAAGTAATGATGTTGCGATCAATGAAACAGAAGATATATTTCAAGGAATTCTTAGAACTCCTGAAAAATCTCATCCAAAAGATAGCATGGAATTTACTTTAGATGATATATTAGGTGGAGATGGCTCCCCTATATTAGAAGGAAAAGTATGGCGAAATCCTTTTTCGTCTTCTAATCAGAATAAAAAAGAAAAACAGTTAAACAAACCAGGTGGTGCTCTTGATCGGTTTTCAAAACTCAGAAGGACTGTTGTTGAAGAAGCTTGTATTGTACAGAGCAGGTTAGATAAACTGTCACAAACTTGGTTTTGCTTTCATTGAATTAGACAGCATTCAAATATTTGTTTTTTTTATTCTTATATAGATGTTGAGTGTGAGTACTTTTAGTTTCTAATTTTTTATTCTTTATTTAAATATATATAATGTATTTCATTTATATTTAAGCATTTATTGTAAAAAACTGAAATATGAGGGTACCTACCTACTTAAGTTGCTCTAATTAATTGCCAAGATTCTTCTTCTTCTCTTGGCACTACAGACTGAAGTGGTCCTTGGCCTGCTTCAACATAGCTGCCACAGGGCTATGTCCTCCACCACACTGAGCCCGTCTGTCTCATGTCCTCTTCGACCTTCTCCCTCCATCAAGCTCTTGGCCTGCCCTTTGCTCTAGTGGTGAAGATCTTCCCTTTGTATACTTTCCTCACCTGTCTATTCATTCGGTTGACATGGCCTAACCATTTCAGCCTGCTTATTCGTATGAAATTTGACAAAGACAAATCATTGTAGATGTCGTATACTTCTTTGTTCTTCCTACTTTGCCACACTTCATTCTCAAGCACTCCACCAAACATTCCTCACAACACTCTCCTCTTGAACCTGTCATGTCTGGCATAGGTTATCTTTATATTACCCAGCATTTCCCACCATAACTAACCACCGGCTTGATAAGAGTTTTGTATATCCGGATCTTATTTTTTTGTGAGACTAGGTTATTTCTTATTATGTGTCGAAGAGCATAGTATGTCCTGTTTCCTGCCAAAATCCTTCTTTTGACCTCTTCTGTTTCATTGGCTTCGTTAGTCATTAATAATCCCAGGTACGGAAATGTCGACACTACTTCAATGTTTTCCCCGTCTAAGTGATAATATGATGGGTGTTGATGCTTCATTCTCTACAAATCTACAAACAATCACCATGTAACCATATTATACTCCCACATCTTTTTCATCAATCTGCCTGAGTGTGAAGATTTGGTCAATGTTTGACATATTCCTTCGAAAATCGCCCTGGTATTCGACAACTGCCCTTTCATAATATGGTACATTTCATACAATGGTACAAAGTATGTCATGTGTAAGGTTGCTGTAACCGTAAGCATGTAATTTATCATTATGATATGATGTAATGTATATAAAAAAAAATAAAAAACTGTATGAAATATTAATCAGCGTGATACCTCTATAGTTGCTACACTCTGTCAAGTCTCCTTTCTTGGGAACCACTGTGATTATTCCACAATTTCATTTTTTCGACATGCATTTTTCCTCCCGAATCCTTTCTATGAGTCTATGCAGCTCTCTCATCATGTCAGACAGAACCCACTAGTTGGAAGAGCTCGGCATTTATATTGTCCATGCCTGGTGATTTGTTGCTTTTTAATTTACATATCACTTCTTCCAATATTGGGGGTATTTTTTCTTCCGGAGTATTATGTCCATAATCCGAGGCTTGTTTGTTGAGCTTTCATAATAGTACGTTTTTTTATGTGGAAGGGATTGTTAGCTTCTTCACACAACCCTCCTTTTTTATTTGGGCTTGGGACTGGCTGTGATTCCTGCAAAGCGACTCCCAAAGTCAGAGTTTGTGAAGATTAGGGACCGTATTTATATACTTTTGCTTCCTCACTACCGAAGGTAAGGAAGCATTGTATTCGTGCTAGAGGTTAAAAAAATGTTTGTGCTCAGAATCAAATATTTTCACTTGCGTTTTACTTTTCATACATCAAGGATCAAATTTGGTTTGGTGTCTGTCTGTAGTCAAATCAATGTAACTGGCATATCACCTACTACTAACAACGGTGAGGAAGCTATACTGATCTTACGTGTCAGATGTTTTTTCTAAGCCTTCTCCGACAGTTTATTTTATGTTTCATACAATTTAAAAATAAATAAAGCATCTCTTGTACATATTTGTGCAATATCTAGGTATTATCATACACATGTCAAACAGAATGTGCTGTTTTGTGATACTTATAAAAAAGGTGAGAAAAATCAAAGATTTGGGATTAAAAACATATCGCGCATCCAAAATGAGAGGGTTATAACTCAAAATATGTCATTTTGAATTAAGAGCATATTAGGATTCCCGGAAAGCAATTTTGACATTGAGCTTACACATCTGTGTAGTTTTCTTTTACATTCATAATTTTCTGTCTTGATCTATAAATTGCTGCAGAAGAGTTTTCAGATTACCAAAAAGTTTTGATTATTAAGAGTCTTCAGGAAAACTAGTTTTCCTTCATAGCATCTTCTCTTCGACACTGTAGATGAATTTCTAGCTTGGGCATATTGCTTGCTATTGCCTGCGTAGTATGCACAAACTGTGAAAAATTAAAAGAAAACAGTCCCATATTTAAAACTTTTTTTAATTTCAAAAACTGCACTTCTAAAATGGGAAATAATTTTACCTTAATAATAAATGGTGAAAAGGTCAATCCCGCTGAAATAGAAATCTTAAAAGTTACAAAAAAATATTCTCTATATTACTATCATAACAGAAAATAAGGTAGAATTTTCATTCCATTTTCATTTTTATTTTTTATTTCCTCTGTATCTCGATTATTTCTGAAGATAGAAAACAAATACAATAAAAGAGTTTTAGAATCATTTTATCAAAAACCAAGAAAATAATAATAGTAAACCATAGTGTAATAATAATTTGCAGAATTTTGTATTTTGGTATGCATCATTTTTGTTTTTTCAGGTATTTTGGTAGTCCTGTTGATCCAAAACCAGCTTCTCAGAAAGCCATTACCCAAGAGGCAAGTATAGGTTTAAGTCAATCATTAGAAGACATTATGGTCAGTCCGCTTCGTCAGATAGATGAAACTGAAAAGTTGAATACAACCAGAATACAAAAGACACCTGATAGAAATGCTTTTTCAGTAACAAAAATAATAAAGGAAACTGAGAAAACAAATCGGGAAAATAGAATATTATGTTCTCCAAACAAAAATACATTTTCAATAACAAACATAATTGATAATGATATATTGAACACAACAAATATTGCTTCATCTTCTCCTAGAAAAAATATTTTTTCTGTTACAAGCACAACTGATAACCAAACTTCTGTTCCAAAGCCTCAAAGCTTCTTAAATATTATTGATTCTCTCTCAAAGAACGCTGAAACTGATGAACCCTCCAAGAATGAAAAACCAGTAAAGAAATTAAGCAGCCCCTCTTTTAAATGGAAGCAACCTCTTTTAGACTTCTCGTTTAAAAAGGGTACACCCGGAAGTGATAAAAAAACCCATACATCTCAGAACCCTCAGGTAATTTATATACTAAGTTTCTCTTCATTTTTTTTTTTTTTTCTCTGTTTTGCAGTTAAATATTTTTTATGTGTGCTTTACCTATATTAAAGTCAGACATACTATGTTGATTACTTATTATAACAATTGATGATATTAAATATTTAATTGTGTACCTTAGGCTAGGTTAAGTGGTACAGCTGGTAAAAGCCCTAATGTTAAGAAGAGAGCTGGTAGCCTATTAGAAAAGAACAACTTGAAAAGAAAAAGTACTGAAAATGGGGTAGCACAACAATCACTTTTTGACATGTTTGCCTTTAAACCCAAGTAAGTTTAATGCAGTCTTCATATAATTTATTGACGTTTTGACCCTATAGCATGCGGGTGAGGGCTAAAAATTACATCAGAAAAATGTAATATAGATAAAAGTGTAATAATAAAACTAGATAAAAAATATAGAAAGTATATAAAATAAGGCTGTTTTTTTATTATTTCACCACATCTACAGTATGTAATCTACAGTGGATTACAAAATGATATGGCTTACTAGCCGATGTAGATGTAAAAGTAGAATAAATGTGTTGAAGTAATAAAAAAACACAGCATTATTTTATATTATTATAAATACTTCACCTAAAACAAACAAGCACACGTGAATGGAAAGTATTTTAATTATGGTGATATAAATATAATATTACACTAAGAAAACATTAAATAAATACGTATATTTAATTGAATATATTTTTCTAAAAATATGCATACATAAACTAGCACACCAACATTATAGGTTAGCTAACAATATATGAAGTATTTAAAAAAATATATATATATATATATTTGCTATTTTGGTCACTTTAGGAGTATGACTTCCATTACTTTCCTACTGATAGTTGAGGAAAGTACTGTAACCAGTTCGAATTTTTGTTTTGTGGTAGTTTTCAAATAATCTTTTGCTTTTTGAAAGTTTTACTTTCAGACATCAAGGATCAAATTTGGTTTGGCGTTTGTCTGTCTATCTGTAGTCAAATCGATGTGACTGGCATGTCACCTACTACCTTTCATCCAATTTTCATGAAATTTTCAGGGATTGTGCGGCTTGGTGTCTACATGGTCCCATATCAATTTTATCAAATTCCATCCAACACTTCCATCCGCTTGTGCAGGCGTGAATGTATTTTCATAGATATGCCAATATTTCATAAAAAGCTTGTTCGATTTGGCTCAAAGTAAATAGAAATGTGGATTTTGGTGAAATAATGATTCTGCATCAATTTTATTGAATTCCGTCCTCTACTTACTCTTATATATGCACAAACACATTTTCCTTAATACATCTATATCTCTAAAACCGCTAGTTTGAATCAGCTCAAATTTTAAGGAAAGTTTGGGATTGGTTAACTGATAATTAAATTAAAAGTATCAATTTTATTAAATTTTATCCACTACTCTAAAAAAAAAAAAAAAAAAGACTTCCACTTTTGGGTCAGTAAACGAATTATTTGACACGCCTATAGTTGTAAAATGGCTAGTTTAATTTGACCCAAACTTCAAGAAATTACTGAGACAAGTTCAGAAATTTTCTAGTATCAATTTCATTTAATTCTATTCAGTAATTAAAATTAATATAAATAACTGTTAACAATATAATTGCTGTGAAATGTGGAAGACATTGATTACATAGAATAGGTGTTAGGTTAATACAATATTTTTATGAGGTTATAATATTTTAGGTTTTATTCAAAAACTTGTTTGGTCGATTCCAAATGTTACTGTCATGACACTTAGTGCCTTCACTTAGATTTCTTGTAATTTTTAAAACAAATTCTTATTTTGGATTGTGTTTATTTCTATTGAAGTTCAACCAGGTCATCATGGTCTCAATTTCCTCCTTAAACATCAAATTCGTGTGAACTTAATCATATTTTTATATTGCAGCTTAAATTCGTTTTTGTTCTGACTTCGGGAAAATATTGGTCTCGTTAACTCCAAACCACCAAAAAATTTTTTTTTCTAATCCAAAATGGATTTATCGTTCCATCCATTTTACTATTGAAACCTATAAAGTATATATTGCTACTGTTAGTCCAAAAGGTCGTATGTAATAATTTTCCATTTTTATTCTATTGGTGTTAAAGGTAACATTTCATTGTATGCTCCCCGATAAAACACTCAATTTTTATATATGACGTTATTGGTAGCGCTATATATCTTCAGCATTTACTGGGATTTTTTGTTTTTAATCACGATTCCGCATTTTAGTATTTGCTGAGGAACAAAATTCGTGGATATTAAATCCGCGAATGTTAAGGAATTAATGTATTTCTAAAAACAGCTTCTCCTGTAGATTTTATTCTGATACAAAAAATTATAGCCTTTGAAATACAGATTAAGCAATAAAAACGGTGAGGAAGCTACACTGACTTTACTTGGCAGATGTTTTTTTTAAACTGTAGTGCCTAAATGTCTCAACAATTTTGATGAAACTTTTCTAAATTTGTTCTACTTAATACCTTTTACATTTCCATTCAACATATTCCTGCAACTTATGCACGTAGCTAAAAAATCATTTAATCGAAAATTCTATTAATATCTTGGAAGATAAGTAATTAAATTTTCTACAAAACTAGAGGTATTCTTTTTAATTGGGACCATTATTAGAAATTAAATGGCATGTTACTCTCTATTTTCATGTTTGTAAAATGATTTTGTACATGTTTCCATAATATAATAAATGTTCCCATAGTATTTTTTTTTTTCAATTGATTCGAAGATAATACTTTTTTCAGATTACTTTATATGGTTATTTGAAAGATAAATTAATTGTTTGCAAAGCTTAACTTAAAAAAAAAATCTTAGCCTTTCAATAATTCCATCTGAAAAATATCAGACATTTTGAGACCTTTAAACTTATTTTACATTGAGCCCATGCAACATCTCCTTGCGCTGCCATATTTATTCTCCTATTTATTTCTGGGGCAACATCTATTACAGAAGATAGACTTCTTCAGGTAATAGATTGGGTTTCTAAATTTGTATTTATTTATTTTTGTTGTAAGAATCAGGGCTTATAATCCTCCAGTCCTCTCAGGCCAGGTCTTTCTCTCCCAGGTCGTGTCCTTGGCAGGTGGTTAGGAATTTTAATGTATTCTATTTATTTTGTTTGACACCAGCTACATATTTTCTTTTACAACTGTATATTTCAATTATTTATTTAATTATAATAAATAATTATGTGCCACGAATATTATTTTTTAATACTTTTTAAAAAATATTTTTAGTCAAACAAGAGTGCCGCTGATAAAGAAGGCCACTATATTTATTTATATTTCATTGAGTGTCTTTTTATTTTTTTTTAGTACTGGTATATATACTAATTTTAAATTTTATATCGCTGTAATCTGTACAATTAGATATTAAATAATACAAACGATAGCTTTTATGAAAACTGCATACGTTTATATATATAATATTGTTGGAATCCGTATTATATTTAGCTCATGTTACATATGGAAGCCTGTTCTAATCTTTCAGGCACGCTTGTATTCCTTTGGTCCCTCTATTACGACTATTCTTCGTTACGATTTCCTATTTTTCCTTTAGTTATTATCAAATTCTTTCATATTTTATATTTAACTATTTTTATATCAGAGTTAATTGTGAAATATTTAATTATTTCAAATAAACAAAATTAAAAGTACTTTAGAGGAAGAAATATTGAAAATTAGCCATTTAAGCTCTGTTAGAAACCATCAATAAGAATAAAACTAAATTACATTTAAAAATTCTTAATTTTATGCTGATATAATGAATTTAATCAAAATTGTTACAGCTGTTTTAGAAGAAATCACCAAAATGTGTGAATTCAATTATATAAAGTGCCACTTCTATTTAGCTGATTTTGATGAAAAAGTGGGAAAGTTAATTTTTTTTTAGGAAAATGAATCTATTTAAATTGTTTGTTTTTTTCTAATAGACACTTTTAAAGTTGTATTTTTTAAAAATATATAGAAAAGTCTTGTAAATAGACACAATAGATTTTTAATTAAAATCATTGGAAACAATATATAAATTGTCTTTACTCTACTACTCTTTCACTCCATATAATCGGAGGGATGGAGGAGGGTTATCATTACCTTTCTTTATTCTTAATTTTATTCATTTAATTGTACTTTACAATGTTTATGTCAATAAAACATCTAAATGTACTTATTTTGTAGCGTTTTACTAAGATTTAAAGTAGTATGTTCAATAAATAGCAATAAGCAGATAGTTAACTGTGAGACTCTTATGCAAGACCAAGACCAAAGTTTGTTGACGCAAGACCAAGATCAAGACCGTCTCGGTCTCGCCATGTACTTATTATGTAGCATTTTTCTAAGATTAAAAGTAGTATATTTAATTTAAATATACAAATTTCATGAAGAAATAACGAACCCTGATTCGGGTGAGGTAAGTGACCAACATTAAAACTGTTGGTACTCAGTGGACAAAGGATTCAATGCTCTACAACTTTTATTCAGATTTTTTTTTTCTCTTAAAGAATCCATTTCCCAACTGCAGCACCATTTATAGTAATTTGTATCAGTTTTTGATTTGGTAAAAATTAGCATTCGTTGACCTTGGTTTTCTACCTTACCACTTAACCAGTGCTATGCACAATTTAATGTTCTTTAATTTCTTAAAGAGTACATTTTTCGCTTTGATGCACTGTTTAAGAGTTTTATGGGAAAAACATAACAAAAAATATGGCTTTTTTGTCTTTCCCTTGGCTTCTCGTGTTAAAAATTTTGGATTTTACATGTTTAAACCCATATATACAAGTTAAAAAAATAACTTTTCCCAAATTTTTCGTAATGTATTTCCCGTTTTGATCCTCAAGTTACTGGTCTAATACTCTTTAAATCAGCCACAATTTTTTAAAACAGCTGCTCTGGAATGGCTGACAAGGTTTATTTTACTTAGATTAATATACATTTTCTTAATTTACATTCAAACCTGCTATCAGGTCGATTTTTGGGTCCTGCCTCCAGGGCTACAGGTTTGTTTAAAAGTACGTTCAATGTGAAATGGTAATGTCTCTTAGTGATACTAGTCAGTTGGTTACTAAAGATCAACCAAATCTAAATATAAATATTAACCAATTACAATGAATTATTTATAATGCTATGGTATTGGTATATCTTTTCAAATAATAATTAATTATCATTTAATTGCAGGTCTAAATTGAAAATGCAATAATGGGGATTGAAACAAGACTGAAGAGAAAGATGTTTATATTTATTAAATATTTTATGTAAACATTGTATAGAAAATACAGCACTTTTTATAATTAATATTAATAATTACTGCATTGGTTTATAAAACTGTAAATAAATGTAATTTGATAAATTTTTTCATGGAGTTCTGGTTCTGTATATAGTGATATTGAATAATGTTAATTTTTGTATAAAAATAAATTATTGCTGATAATGTACAATTCTTTATAAATAGTGTTTTTTATTTAAAATGGTTTCACATATACATGTTAACATATATAATTATAATTTACAACAAAGAAAAAAAAATACATTTTGTTATTAAATAATTATACAACTATAATTTGATATTAAAAAAACAAAAAACAATTTTAAATTACTTTTTACTACTGAAATTGACAACAGTTTAAGATAAAGCATTAATGCATCTCTGAGCTCATAATAAGACTTCATTCATGAATTAGAACGATGGCACATCTGAAATAAAATTGCATATTTAATTTATGACTATCTAGTAGAATATATTTTGTTTACAATATAAATTAGTTTATCATTATAGATTAATCTCAGTATTTGTTTTGAAATTTGGTCATTTACTTTTATAAATTTATATAATCGGTAAGAGAATTAAAATCAACAAATGCATCATTTCCAACACTGGAAAAGGTCTGTATACAATTAGTATAACATCATTACATTCTCCTTAGGTTTAAAGAGGCAGTGAACATTTGTGTTTTTTATCCTTCATAAAAATGATGTCTCGCCACATCAAATTGAAATATTAAATTCTTTCTTTGAAAAATATAATTATTGATATGTAGTTTAATAGACTAAGAAAAAAATTTAAATTAACAAGATATCTAATTACTTAATAAATATAATCAATAGAAGGTCTTAGCTAAATGGAAGTAAAACTACTGCTAATTAAAATAAAAGTAAATGCGAGTTGTCATAAATACTTAGGCATCATATCCTACATGGATGGTAAAATGAATATACAAAAAATCAATTGTCTGAGATGCCCAAAAAAGATAAAGCAGGAGTTTTTTTTTTTTTTTACTTTGTTAAAGATAAAATAATTATATTTAAATGGAAACAAAACATACTATTTTATAGCCTCTCCCTACCTCTCTCTCTCTCTCTCTCTCTCTCTCTATATATATATACATATATATATATATATATATATATATATATATATATATATATATATATGTATATAGAAAGAGAGAGATAGAGTATATATATATATTATAATAATAAAATTTTAATACTCACTTTAAATGGAAGTATTGATCAAGCAGTATAATTTACTTTGGGACATACCTATAAAAAAACAAATTAACAGATGCATGTAATTGAAAAATAATATACAAAAACAAGAGTGAATAAGTACAAAAAAATATATTAAACAAATTAAGATGTAATTATCTTTTAAAATTAGTCTGTTAAATTTTTGTTTTAATGATACAAAAAAACGACAACTTAATAACAGCAATGGATTGACTTTATATTAAAAAATGATGTTACATAATTAAATTTTCTATTACCTCACAGCTTTTAGATCGCCTAACTCTGCAATACATTAGTCTTGATTTGTTTCCTTCTCCTGCAATATAATTTATGTTTGAGTAATTTTTAGAAACCTTAAATAATTACCATTAATAAATATTGACACATGAAATAACAGGAGTAATAAAAATGTCTGGTGGCTTCAAATACATCTCTATCTATTACTTCTTTCCTTGTTTTATTATAGCTTTTAAATAATTCCATTTCAAAGTACCTCTATTTATAAATATGTGAATCTTCAATTATTTGTTTCAAACCACAGTAAATTTAATCAAGCTCTAAATACGTCTTTCTCACTGTTAATAGTTTATAACAAAAATAAAACCCTATTAAATAAATAAGTGAAAATTGATGTTTTAAGTTGTGATGTAGTTAATAAGTAATATCTAAATGTAATAATCAAAAACAAAATTTTCAAACAAATAATCTTGGAATATGCTCCATGACTAAAATATTTTAGATCAATAATAAAAAAAAAACCTTTTAAACATGATTAGTATACATACCTCTACTACTCTGAGTTATCATCGATGATTGGTGGAGGAGTGGTAGGAATAAGAGGAGGGTAGAAATTACTAGAATAGGATGTCTTGTTAGAACTTGAATAAAATTCTCCCTCAGCAGAGGTACTGGAATCATTTTGTAATAAGTGGATATTAACATCAGGTCCTACAGGTAGGTCATCATTAGTATCAAACCTACTTCCATCAATGGATAGATTTTGCAAGTTAGTATTGTTTATTTTATCAGAACTATTTACATTTTCACAAACCATAAAATCTGGTAAAGGAACTGAATGAATATTAAAATTTTCAACAGAAGAAGCAGTTGCTATATTTGGTCTCTTTTCATTGTCACCATCTATGTTATTATTTTCAGTCAATCTGTCTACAGTCAATACAGTATCAGTTTCATTGTTCTTAGAGTCTTGTTTATGCAAAGACTGTAGTGGACCAATAGTGTTGCGAGGTCGTGGAATGGGAAGAGGTAAATTATTAGGAGGAAATTGAGGATTACTACCCTGCTGTTCATAATCGTCTCTAGACGGAACATCTTCCATAACTCTGGAGGATTCTTCTTGCTCAAAAAGAGATGGGCATTTCTGTTCAAAATGATTTTCCAAGTAAGCTCTTGTCATTTCCTGAAAAATATCAATATTTAAGTATAATCTCAAATAATTAAAAAAACAATTGTGGGTTTATGGTTGGCTGTAGTGAATAATTGAAGAGAAGGATGGTAAATAAATAATTTTTAATTTGACTGATCACCCCAACCATCCTCTTCAATTAAAAAAACAATAATTTAATTTACACAATACTGACAAAACCTTGATTATGAATATCACAAGATGTCATCCCCCCATAAAAATAGAAAGAGGGCGAAAATATGATTTTGCTCTCCCTATTGAGGGATATTCTCGTCCCCCTCTTATAATCTCGAATCTCTTGTATTTCGAAGAACACAAATAAAATCAAAATTCATAACAATTAATTTACATAAATGAATAAAATACGTAAACTAAAATCAATTAAGAAAATAGAAAAATTCGATTAGCTGGCTAAGTCAAGGGCTAGAAGTATGCAAGTATTTTACCATGCCCTATATCCCTGTTATAGAAATTTTAATTTATATTCAAAGATAATTATATGTAGCAACATATCCTAGAATTTTATGTTCATTCATGTGAACTCTTTAATTTTTATAAAAAGATTTTCAATTCATCGGAAAATTCAAAACATCGGAAAATTTAGAGTTCATCTCACTGCGTCACACCTTTAAATAAAAATAAAAATATGTAATACATTTTCAAATATACCCATCACCCATACAAAAAAAACAACTAGTATATATAAAAGAAAAAAATGTGTGTATATATATATTATTTTGGAGAGGGTCCAGTGCTCTCCCTCCAAAATGAAAAGTCTGCACCTATGGCGTAGAGTTATATTTATTTTACTAAACATAAGTTTTATTTTCAATTAAAATTGTATCGCTACAATTTTAACCTTGTGAACCATATGAAGGATCATGGGTTCAGTACTTCGTAATGAAGACTGTTTCTAGGCCAACAGTTGTCCAATGAGATGATTAGTCAAGATCACACTCCTCAACCGCAAAGTATTCCCACAATTGAGGGGTGCCCACTTTACAGAGGCTGGTTGTGCTCCAGGAGGTTCTCCTCCTTACTGATATCACAGAATAAATAATTACTTTAATTTAATGAGCAATTTTCTATAAAATATTACCCTTAGAGCATGAGCAAATGAATGATCAATGAGGCCTGAATCTCTAGATACAATTTTCAAAGTTTTATAAGCCTTATTCATTAATGCTTTAGCTACTTCTGTTATTTCCTTTTCAACTGCCTGTCGGGTACACCTCTTTGTAACCTCCAAATTTAATCTTTCTATTTCTCTTTCAAGATTTTCGATTCGTTTATCTTTTTCTGAAAATAAAATTGACATTATAAGCATAAGATTATCTCAAACCATATTCCTCTATATTAAAAAATAAGTAATTTTACTTTTAACAATAGCTGTCAATGATAAACATATACAATTAATTTAACCTTCGAGCGGGCGTGTTGGCACAAGGGATGCACCAGTCTCGGATTTTAGGTTGTCAAATCTCTCAAAGTGTCCGGAGGTCATGGAAATTGCATTTAATCATTTATCTAACCTTTATTGTCCTTCTCCTACCTTTTACCTGCCTCAGACCTTTACAACCCTCCAATATTTTTTCAAATTGCTTGGAAAATTATTGTGGCACACTACGTGCGCCGCATGCCAACTCATGTTATACATTTAGTTTTTCTTGGATATTTTTGATGTTTAAGGTTGAATTGATATTTTTAAAATGTCATATGAAAATGTAATGTATGTGGAAGGAAAAAAAAACCAACATGTTCCAAGTGTAAAACATAGACTTGCAAGCATATCCAATTATAATTGAGCCTGTATTAATTTCATGTTATCGGCAAGACAAATTTCTTTATGATTAATTAGAATAAGTGATTAATTTTTTGCTTTCAATATTTTAATTTTTACACTGTTCTAATTGCTTTTTTTAGTAAACTTATGTTATTTTGTAATCAAACTTAGGTTTTATGTTATCACAGAAACATAAATTGGATTTGTTTTTTTTTCATCAATTGTAACCTATTAAATTTAAATTCATAAAATATTTTTATATTTATTTGTTTCGTTTATTTAAAATATGTCCTGCCGTATATTGAATATACAAAAAAAAAAAGTAAATATGTTTGTTTCTCTATCATAAAATTAAGTTAAAAACAACAGAAAAAATAAGTCAATAATTTTATATAAATAAATACTATTAGAAATTGTATAGATACTTATTAATGTAAAAAATAGTGAATTTAAAATTTAAACAACAGAAAAAAAAACATTAATCGCTACCAAAAAGGCATGGCACACTCCATGCAACACACGTCTCCTGGTGTTACAAATAAGGGCACTGAGATGTTAACAAATTTCCAAGTTATTGAATTTTATTATAAATAATATAAAACTAAGAGAAAATAATTTAAGTAAATTAAAATCTTATTACTTTATTAATTCATTCATTGATTAATGAAATCATAAATCTTCCTCATGCCCAACTGCATAGTGTATCCATATTAGTATGAAGTCAGTACAATAACTGCCACGCTATTGGCATGTCTGAAGCATCATAATCTTATTCTAGAGAAATTTGATTCTAGACTTATTTCAGCCACTATTCTATAATAACTACTGTATTGGGTTCTCCAGAAAATAATGCAGGATTTTGAGTTTTCCTTAAAATGCTGCTCTTTATAACAAACTGTTTACATTTACTGGATTATTCATTTGTATGAATGTCAACACTTATTAATACCTCTTCCAAACGATAATGTTTGTTTACCTCTATAGCATTTCGCTGCTTAGAAATAATTAAGTATTTACTAAGATGTCAACACGTGATTTTCGTATAATTTTTTTTATAAGTTTAAACTTGGCCGAAATGGAACCCAGACAGCCAGAAACATCAATCAAGTCTGGGGCAAGAGCAGCATTAATGAGTGCACTGTTCAACGGTGGTTCAAAAAATTTCAGGAGTGAGACTTCAGACTTGAAGACAAAGAAGGTTTTGTGGAAGGACTTCCTTTCTTGATGACAATGTTCTGTGGGCTTTGGTGGAAGAAAATGCCAAAAAAACTGTTCGAGAACTAGCAGGGAAACTTAACTTTAGCAAATCAACCGTCAATGATCATCTCAAGGCGATTGGAAAGGTAAAAAAAACTTGGTTTCCACACACATTAAAAAACTGCCAAAAAAAGGCACAATGAAGTTTGTGCTATACTTCTTTGCCAAAAAAAAAAAAAAGACCCTTTTCTGTCCCGAAATGTTACTTATGATGAAAATTGGATACTTTACAATAACAGTAGACGTCCAAGAGAATGGAAAAGTTGCCAACATGTTGGCAGAAATGTTTAGATAATAGTGGAGACTATTTTGATTAAATAAAATAGTTGTAAATCTTTCTTTTTTCTTTTATAACCAAAACTATGCATTATTTTCTGGAAAACCGAATAGAACCCAAAAATCAAGCCCCCTAAAAACAGTGGGAAAAGTAGAACTTTGTTAATTCAAACCTGAGGCAAAAAGCCAGAGGAGAAAGAAAATGAATATGATAGATACAGACACAAACCAATAACTATACATTAGAATGATTTGACCAATTTAGTACACACATTTAATGGACTCATTTGATTTTTTTCTATTAAATGAAAAATACAAAATGAATAAATTATTTAAGAAGAAATTAAATATAGAAAATATACAAAATTAATAAATACCTAAGAGACGCAACTGGAATGACAATTCCTGATTACTGTGGCCTTGTATGGCAGACACAGTGTGCTCACTTAGTTCCCTGTTTTGGCGCTCTAGTTCTTCTGAATTTTTCATTAGTTGTAAGTTTCGTTCTTCCAAAACTCTTACATTTTCTTCCAGCTCTTTAATTTTTTTATCTCCATCTCCTTTACATTGACTACAAAGATTTTTCCCCTCTTTACTAATAATTTCTTTCATTTCTGCGAGTTTCAAATTTAATTCATCAACTTTGTCCTTTAACAGAATCAACATAATAATGCAATGAAACATTAAAAATAAGAAAACTAGGTACATTCTGATATACTATTAATCTACAATAGCTATTCACCTGGTCCATGTGTGGAAACCAAGGAAATACTAAGTCTAACATATTTTACTTCTTCAGTGGGCATGGGAAAACATTGAGAGAGTTGAGAAAAGGTCATCTACCAGAGCATCCTTTTCTTAAAACAACTTTTTTTTGACAAAAAATGTTGAGAAAATCGAACTTCCTTAAATGTTAAAAATTATCGAAACAACTTTATCCAAATTGAATCAATTTTAGTCTTGGGGATGGAAAGGCCAAGCAGACAATATGTTTTGTCTAGTAACCTGATAAATCAAAGATTACAAGTTTAAATCCTGGGACTTGGAGGACTTTTTACTGTTGTTAATCCTTTGCCCTCTTCCCTGACCCAGGAAAACCCTATTTAGCTGAAAAGGCAAGGAAAAGGAGAAAAAGAAAAAAAAATGACTTTTTTTCATACAAAAATCTCTAAATAAAACTCCGTGTACTTTATAAAAAAAAAATCAGGTAAGTGAATAAAATATATTCATCTAAAAAACAAATAATATTATTGATATTTTGATCATGTATTTATAAATGTATTTATTTTTAATTACAGACGTAATTGGAAGAGATTAGAAACAAGTACAATAAATATTCTTATTGTTCCGAACATCAAAGAATCATAAAATAACATGAAATTTTTATGTTCATTAATTAATTATTAAACAAAATAATATAATAATAAATAATAAAAAATTATTTGTAGAATAAAAACAACATATGTAAATATACTTTTAAAGTTTAATAATATATATTGAATAACCAACAAAACAAAAATAGTAACTTAAAACATATAAAAGATTAAGGAATTTATTAGCAACAATATGGCTGTATAGGGGAGGAAATGGAGACCGTTGCCCCTCCAGAATAATTTGAAAAAGCAGTTTGTTAAATGTTTTGTTATTAATTCAAGAAAAATAATTTTAAAAAATCGTTATTCCATGAATAACCGTGTTTCATATAAAAATATTTATAAAATGTAATAATAATAAACTACTTAGTGTAATATTATTGATTTTAGAATCATTTATTTATCAGAGATTTTCCTTTATTCAATCTTGTCCTCTTAATATGAAAGCTGCAAGTACGCCATTAAGCACCAAAAGATTTTTTTTTATAATATAGTAATAGGAAAACCTAGGGCAGTAAATATCAACTTGATGCACCTTCAGAATGTGACTGGTGGATCCAGCTACTTCCAGTAAACTTTCCAGTTCACAATTTCTTTTCTTCAGTTGTATTACTTCATTAATTGTTGAATGTAGATTTGACAATGAGCTATAAATAAAAAAATATTATATAGTACCTAAAAACTTTAAAGTGTATGTAATTTTAAATAAATAAATTTCAGTTTTAATGTAAAATTTATTTTATTTTATTTATTTATTTTTTTTTAGTATAGAAATATTTGACAAAAATATATGATTTTCAAACATTGAGTGCAAGTGCATAGTAATATTAAAAAAGGATATAATACAATACAAGATAAGCGTACTTGTTTTGTGAACATTTTAGTCATGAATTTTTGATATTAGAAATTTACATTATAAAATAAACTGAACATGTCTGCAGCCACAGCATTTGATTGAAACAATTATTTGAGGAAAGGATGTTTGTAAATGGAATTTTTTATACACCTGTTTTTATGATTTCGTTTAGAAGAGAAAAGATAATTCCACTAATCCGGGCACCAAATTGTTTGTACATAGTAAGAAAAAAATGACCAGTTTAAATTTATTTAAAATTTAGAGAACTAAAAATTTAATTAAGGGAGCAGTAAGTACAAAAATAATTTTAAGGAAGGATTAGACTTAATCCAGGTTCACACATGCATGTTTTCAGATAAGATGAAGCACAAGATTATCTTCTCTGTATTATACTGAAACAGTTATGTGTTTTACTAAAAAATGCAACAACTCATTCACACATAAGTGTTTTTCGCTTATTCTTAATTTTAACTTAACATCATTTATGTATTGTGATTTGTTTTGGTTGTACTGTATAAATAAATCAACTTTTATTTTTAACCACAAAGATATTATATTTTCGTAACCCTTAATATGAAATAAATCTTTAAAGTATTTTCATTTCATTCAGTTCAGTCCAGATGATGTGAGGCAGTGGCGGATCCAGGATTTAATTTTGAGGCATCAGCCTGAAAGCCTTTTTATATATATATATATAACAAAAATTACTTGTGTAAAAAAACAAAACTAACTACCTACATGAAATGGTATTTAAGTGATTCTTGATGTCATATTAAAAATGTTATAACACGAACAATAATACTTTTAGAGATAATTTTTTTCATAAGGCATTGGTATATTTACTAGCTGTATATGCATCATAATTCAAAAATAATATATTTTGATTGTTTGATAAGCATTTAGCTTTGATCATTCAGATGTTAGGTCCCATTTAGTCTTTCTAAGAATTTTACTGATTTGCTAATGTTTGAAAGAGATAGTCTCAAATCTTTAATGAACTTATTATCAGCTAGTCTGCAATAATCAACAACTAGTCTGCAACAATTGACAACTGGTGTGCAAGATACAGTAGTCACATATTATTTTAAAACATTTGACTTTTCAATAATAATGCCTGATTAGGTAGTATCATTTTTTTTTTTTTTTCATATTTATACACATAAATATTTTGTTTACCTGATATTTTGAGGACGTACCTATTTATTAATTTTATTATCTAATTTTAGAAACTACTGTAATATTCCAGATACAAAATGAGAAGAAATCGAGACAAAGACATAAATTACAACCGTAATTCCAAATCTAAATTATTTTTCATAATGTAACATAAGTATTTATTAACCGCTAGCAGTTTTGAGAACAAAAAAAAAAAAAAAAATGCTTAGAAAACTAACTATATTGAGTACTTTTTCGGTTTCTGAAACTAACAAATAATTAATGCAAAAATTAAGTTAGGATTTTTTGGCATTATGTTTGTAATATATGAATTATTTAATTCTGAAATGTGTGACATAACCAAAACAATCCTCCTTTAAAATCATTTTCACTAATAAATCACATGTGCTCCTCTCTCTAACACCATAGAATTACAGAGATTTTTTTTTTTTTAAGTACAATAAATTAACATTTTGAAGATAAGTTACATAACGTAACAAAATAAAAATCTAAGTCTAAATTTATGAAATATGTTGGAAGAAAATAAAATTTAATTACTGCTTTTCTAAAAGTGACAAGATGGTATTGTTTTGTTCAGCAAGCTTATCAAGAACTCCATCGGTATTTTTAATTTGTTCAAATTCAGATGTTTTTTTGGGTTCTGACTGAGAAGTAACTTCTATCTAAAAATTAAAAATATAAATAATAATTTATACTATTGGGTTAGACAAACTAATATAAAAAAAAATTAATTACCTTTGAAATTAGTACATCAATTTTGTCATTAACTTTGCTCAAGTTCATTCTTATTTCTGAGTTGCTAGTTCGGACTTCACTGAACAACATATTAAATTGGGATGTAACAGTTACGTCACCGATTTCAGAAGAACAGGCGCTGCCTTCCTTTTTCAAAACAAAAACAGATTATTACATGTGAATTAGAACTGATAAAAGAGGTAGCAATCAACTTATTCACCCTTTACACACACATACATAACAATTTAATACATGGTAATACTAGATCCTTCAGTACAGACTGAATAAACTCAGGGAATTAATTGTAACTGTGAGTGTGAGACTTGAAATTTATCCTTTTTTTAATAGGAGAAACTGAGTGAGGTTAAGAGACTTCTGACCAGACCCCCAACCAACTTATAATATTCAATGGTCAACATTATTTCCACCGTTATGATATTTTCTTAATCTAGAGTGGCAAGAATCATGACTCTTAACTAAACAAAGCTATAATATATTTTGACTGATCACCCCAACTATCCTCTTCATTATTCACTACAGTCAACCATCAACCCACGATTATAATATATTTCTATTTCTAAAAACCAAATAGGAAAAGTTTTGATTTTATTAAAAACTAACAAATAAAAAATTACTAATATACTCTATAATAAAATGGAAGGAATTACAATAAAGTATGATTTAGACCGGGGCTTGAAATGAAATTTTAACTTTTATTTTTGATCAGTTTTTCATATTAATTTTGATTTGAAAATTTTCTTTTGAAAAACTTCTAAGTTCTGTTGATTTCACCAAAATGTCAATCTAGAAAATGATGTTTATTCTTAGCAGCTCAAACAAACAATGCATTAAAATCAATTAATTAATTTAAGATAAATTATAACTCTAATCTAAGCCCAATTACTGATTATTTCTCATTTAACATAACTTCTTTTTAAGAATTTAAATAAAATAGTATTTTTTAAGAACTTAAATAAATAAAAGTTAGACTTCCATCATAAACATAGAACTTTATTACAAAAAAAATCCATAGAACTTTTATTTAAAAACTTTTTTTCTAAAAACAATTCAGAAACTGTTGAAATTCAACATTTTATAAAATTCTATAGAAGTTTTAACCACTGGTTTAGATACATACATTTCAGACAAACAACTAACTAGTAGACAAATTACAAATATATTAATTATTATTGCATTGTATAGAAAGATTAAAACCACAAGTTTTAAAAATGCATCTTTAATAAATATTATAAACCACCTTTAATAACAATTACTAAAAAAAAACAAGTTTATTCTTATGAAAAATATTTTGTTGGTGCAATAATTAATAATTGCTAATTCATAAAAACAACAATATATGTGGCCTAAATCTCCACTACACCACTGTATTGATACTTCATTTTGAACCAATTGGTAACATTATTTCATATTATTATTTAAATTATAATTATCATTAATATAAACAAGTATTATTTAATTTATAATTTTTATATTTTTGATTAATATAAATATTTACTATTATTATTAAAATGCCACAACAGAAATTTAAAGAGTGAGCATTAAGTTCCAGCGATTTTGGAGAAAATTCTTAACACTGGTTCCAATGAAGGTCAATATTATTTAATCAACATAAACCAAGAAACATGTTCTTGGAATTAAAAAAATATAACCTTTGTTCATAGAAAAAAAAAAAAAAAATCTCACCACATAAAAATCGAGCATTGTTAGAAAAATAGCTGATTCTGAATACTTAAGTACAAATTAAAAACCTATTATCAGGATGTGAATATAATTATGAAAATCAACTATTTAGCAGTGATTGACTGGGAATAAACTCAATGACAATGTTCTAAAATCATTTTGGTGAAACAATTTAATATTCACAAATAAGCAGTTATTTCTCTTGTGAGAAAAGTTTAAAAATTGACAATTTATAATTTGACAATACCTAATGCCACATCTGGCAAATAAAATAAGTTAACAAACTCTTATCACAAAATATTGAAACTCAGAGCTAAGATGAATTAAGTTGAGCTTAGCGTTCATGCTCAGGTGGATATGAATCAACAAGAATCCTCAACTTTCCTCACCCATATCTACAGGAAAAACAAATAATGCTCATGCCAGTGAACTTGCAATGCTTGTAGGATGTCTTCCAAAAAAAAAATCTGAAAAGTGTAACCAGAATAAATCCCAAGAAAACTAAGCAGCTTGTACTCCAGAGATATGATAAGGCAAGAAACCGCCGTCTATTTGTTCTGGACTCATTAACATAACATTAGTATATTATTGACAAAAGAACACCTCCCATACAAATCTTAAAATTTAGAAAATACAAATAAGATAGGACTTATACTTTATGTAACCAAAGGAACAACCATTTCCACAGCATTAATGTTGAGACTTTGATAAATTAATGAAAAAACTTTCATTATAGCCGATGTTATAATTCTAAAACATTAAAATGAATATTAAAAATTCAGCTAATACTAGGCTGATATACCAAGTGACTACAATGATATCCAAAGAAGAATTAGCCAATTTATAATCTTGTAAATTATGGTGTCATGTGCAAAATTTCCAAAGTGAAGGATATTGCCAATAAGGTAATACATCATAGTATCACCGGAAATTGACTTTGCTCCTTTTAGCTTCTCTTTAAGATGTAAACTAAAACAAACCAGTTTCTGAAATTTATCGGATATCAGATAAATAACCGAAAAATTTATCTATATGGCTTTAGAACACCTTAACTTGTTAACTTAAGTTATGTTTCACTAGCTTTGACAACATTTTGATGCCCTCCAAAACACAAGAACAACAATACGACCACTAAAAATAAATAATACAGTAAATGTCAAATTTAAAATCTCTATAACTTACTTCTAATTTATATAATTTAAACTAATTTCCTGAGACACCACTCCATAAAAAAAAAAAAAAAATGGAAGTTGGGAACAGGAAAAGCCAACAAAATGGTAGCAGCAAGTTTTCATGGTACCTACAATAAATGTCATATGTTATGAAATCATAAATGAAACAGCAGGCACCAGTCTATGAGCTTACAAAGAATAAAGAAGCTGGTAACCAAGCCATGATTGTTCATCATAGCTCGAATTTGATAACTGTGATCTTGAAAATGTAACTTATGTTAGCTTATTCGGCAGAACTTCCTCATTTATTAACAGTGAATGCTTTGTTGTATCCATCTGTCATCTGCCATAATAAAGAAAATCAAACTTTGGTTTGAAATACCTAACTAGCCAAAATTCAAAGATACAGAGACATTTTAAAGCTGCCATTACTGGTCAATATAACCTTACAAAACAAGAAATATATAAAAACGAAAAATTACTAGAAAGCTAATATAAGATAAAAGAAATACTTACTGCAATTACAGAAGGAGTGGATGGAACATATGTTATCGGTTTTTGTGATAATGAATGTTTTTTATCTGTAACATCATGAATATTTCCTGTTTCCAACATCTGCAAATTAGGTAATGCATACCCAATGCGTGACATTCGTTCAGATAAATTAATGGAGTCTTCTTTTTTTTCAGAACTATAATTAAATGGAGATTTAAGATATACCTCATAAAAATAAAATACAAACGACTAAATTATAAATATTTATATAAATAGGGATCATAAAACCTCCTTTTGGAAGATGTATTCTGGATACCTAAAGAGCATGACGATTGGTTGTTTATGTTTTTACTATTGATTTCTTCTACTTCTAATTCCATCATCAATTTTACACCATGAGATAATGATAAATCTACCTCAGATTCCTTCAACAAAACAAAAGAATATTAAGACAGGGAATCCAAAGTAGGTTCTTAAAGGGGATCCTAAGGATCCACATAACTATTACAATTTTAACTTTAATAAAAATTCTAAATAGTTACGACTTTTTTCATTTATTACTCATATTATAAATCTAACAATGTAAAATGCCTATGGTGTCCACAAAGGCTCTATAAGGTTCCATGGAATCCACGAAAAAATGTTCAAGTGGTGACCTGCAGACTACATAACTTTAAGAACCTAGGTGTCATGACAATTCTCTTAATAAACTATCTTTTAATCTGACTCTATCATTTACAGTCATCAAGTAGTATTCCTCTCTTAATAAAATTGAAACATAATTCAAGGGCCCTATGAAGATTATTTTAGGAAGTGGCTAGCCAAATAACCAATAAAATAACTTAATAGTTCCTTGAATAAAGAATTAGCTATCCTCTCCAAAATGCTGAAATTAGCTGCAAGGAATTCATATGAAATTCCTTAAGATAGATGGTAAGCGATATCAATTAATTAATACCTAACTACCAAGATGTCAGCAACTTCCATCTTATTCCTGCAGGACCTTTTTTTACTTCAATTTAATAAATTAATAATTAATAATGCAGCCAAATATGCAATCGCTACAAGATTTGATATTAACCACATGCTGGATGGGTTAGAATATATTTTTAGTATTGAATATTTTTTGAATTATTTCTCCTCAATCAGATAATACAACATTAATATTGAACGATTCTTTAATAAATTTGCTTCAGGACATAGTTGTTACATCTTGTTGAAGCAGCGCTTGAGCATTTTATAGTAAAAAGAGGCACCAGTTCAAATCTGGCCTGGATGACAATTTATTTTGTAATAGACAGACCATTGGTAAATTGTAGGATAAATCTACTTCTGTCGTTAGATATACATTAAATTTCAATAAACAATTAGCCTAATCATAGGTTGTAGTAGTAGTAGATTGAATATATAAGGCACGCATTAAAAAAAAGAAAATGAAAATTAATGTAAATAGTTCAATATAATTTAGCTACTTCCTTTTCAAGCAAAGCTAGGTAAGCTTTTTTTGCACTTATTTCTATGTAAATACTTCATTAAAACTTGTTAAAAAGAACTAACAGATTGCCGTGAAGGCAAAATAATGAATCTCCGACTCTTGAGACATGATCCAATTAAATTTACTTCCCAATTCGAAGAACTCGCAGGAGCAGTAAGATTTTTTTCTGAAGATTCCTAGAAATATGAAAGAAACTTACTCTTAGATATTATTAAAACATAAATATATATCAATAAATATATGAATTTGTAAAATACCTCTTGAAGAGTATTTTCTGGAGACAAATAATAAATTTTATAATTTACTTTGATGTTATCATCTTTTTTAATCACATTTTCGGTTTTACCTTTGAATGCTTCTTGTACTAATTTACACTGGCATGACGGAGTGCTTCGCCATCTAGCCAAGGCAATCTACTCAGAACATGTTTTAAAAACATAAATGCTAAAAATAATCTATTTAAAGCACAAAGAAAATTACCTCTTTTGCAAAATTAATTAGATCTGAAGATTTGTCAAAATGAATAGACCATTGGATACCAAGAGAATCTTTAAAACTGGCATAATTGTGATCTTGCACCTGAAATGGTATAATACTAGCCTATAATTATTATTTAATCTGCTGAATTAATTTATATTCTGTACAATAAATAATATTACAAATTCAGAAACAGAATAACAAATAAACACTAATATTAAGCAGAAATCAAATTAAAATAAAATCATGAAAAACTTTTTAATGCATAAAATGTGTGGCAATTTAATTTGTCCTCCCAGAGTAATTTAGCGGGACAGTTTTTTATCTTTAAATTGATGTTACATCAAGCAAATATTTTAGCAGTGTTGGCCTGTCTAAGGTAAGTTACTGTCTATGACATCTTTTAACAAATAAAATCCAAATAGAAGTTAAAAATTGCACATTACTCCTTATTTGATGAACCCTCATACCCTTCTTTGTATTAATATGGTAGAGATCTTTTATTCTATTACTTGTAAAAATAAGTGGTGATTTTACAAATCTCTTACATTTATCTAACTCAAAAACCATCACATATATGAGAAATTTAAACGATTAAAGGCTAATTTTAAATTTGAATACAAAAACTTTTCTAAATTTCCCATACGATTAAAAATATTCATAATACTTACAAGAAAATTAAATTGAAAACTTATTTCTGCACTTGACACCTTTCTTTCATCACTCCTATACATATATAGTTGATAATAAAAGTATTCATCATTCCCAATAATAGCAACACCTACTTTTCCTTCTGATTTATAACCTCCAATTTTCCTAACCAAAAATATATATTGTTAGTTAAAAACTTTAAAATTGAAGCTGAAAAATTAACTAGTAAAGTATAACTTACATCTGAAATGCTTCAACTGTTTTCGCATGTATCACTTTTAAAGGGACTGAATTATGAGCTGGCTTTTGCAGTTTTGAAGTGGGATGTTTTGGTATTGAGAATTTGAAAGAAATGTCATCTAATGTGTTATCCTCAAAGAGTTTGGCGAGTCTATCACTAAAATGTTGTGAAACTTTACAAAATAAAATAATACAATTAGTATTACTTAAATATCTGGATCCAAAAATTTTACCTTCCACCATTTAAAGGAAAATCCTCTTCAATATCACTAGACATTGTTAATTTAACAATAAATACATACCACTTGTCAATTTCATTTAAGGGAGGTTGCAAACTATCAGGTGTTACATTTCTAGCCTGTTTATAAACAGGCTAATTGAGCTGCAACCATAAATCTAGGAATTAATTCTAATTCTATTCCAACAAAATATACACTACTATTATAATTTAATAATTAAATCTGAATTAAAAAAAAAATGATAATTTAAATTCTTTATTTACAACAAAATAACAAAACAATAAGCAAATGCCCTCTAAAGTATGTTATAAATATAATAAATCTTTATTAGAAAACAAGAGCTTGAATCTATAAAAAATATAAATACAAGAGCAATAAAAGAGGTATTTCAGTTGCCCATGGCAACCAGTGTGTAACTAAAAACCATGAATGTTTTCTGATATAACAGTAGTTATAGTTTAGAGTAGTTTTAATTTAAAATATGCCAAGCCTAAGCCTAGCAGTCGTTATATTTTTTAATTACTACTATTACTACTTACTAACAAGTGTTTTTGTATTTGTTTATATGTATAAACTGTTAAACTTGCCATATCCTAATGGAAATTCAATGACAGAAATAATAATTTTTATTCTACTTTCCTGTGTAGAATGGATGAGACTCTACATGGCTAGAAAAGGCAACCTGACAGATTCTTGGTCTCCAATGATAGCTTCACTTCTTTTGAATGTACCAAGCGTGCTCGGGGTGTTATATTTTCTATTATGGCAAACTTATATTCTAAGGATAGAGGTAATCATTGTGACCATCGAAATTGTCTTTGAAGGATTAATGTTTTTTTTTGGATTACTACATTTATTCACATTGATTTATTACCAGGGTTAAAAAAAAGCAAGTCAGTAAAGAAAATTTATTTATTATAAGTTATAATTAAAAAATAAATAATGGTAAAATGTGCAAGAAAAAAAATCATACATAATTTAGGAACTTCAAAAAACAAAAGTTTTACACAATACCAGAAGATACATAAATTTAAAACATAAAACATTTCAAAATAAATATGGAATGATTTGTATCAATGGTGATTGCACAATACTAATATTAGAACACTATGACACATTGAAAACACTAAACTTTAGATCCCATGGTATTCTGCAGCCTTCCACGAATGGCTTTCAGCCTTTGATTACAATATATTCTGAGGAAGATGGCACCAAACACAAGAACAATACCAGTAACACCCAAAAGAGATATTGCGTGATTATAAATCAAGCAAGACAAAAGTATTGCTAAACCCTAAAACAAAAATAATAAATGATAAGAAAAGAATGGAAAATAAAGGCTCAAAAATCATTATTAACACATTCATATTACCTGACGGATAGTCATTATTATAGTAAATACAACAGGTCCAAAACAAGAAATAGTGAAGAAAATAAAAAGCTGTCCAGCTCCTGAGCTAATCGAAATCAATAAACAGTCAATCATGAATTTCGGGAACTAAAACAAAATAAGTTTCAATAAGGTATGATCAATACTCAGAATAATTGAATAATTTATAACTTTCTATTATCATTTTCTGTTATGTTCTAAATATTGAATTTATTTCACTTCTCAGCACTAAAACTCAACACTAATATAGCTATTGGTTTTTATAACAATATCAAGTTGAATACTAAAGAACAGTGCCATAAATAGTGTTCAGCATTTTTAAGAATTTTTTTTTGCCATAAAAGAAAAATTGAAAACCTACCATAGTCATGAAAGCGAATGATTTAGGAAAAGATCCTTGCTGAAAAAGTGAAACAGCAGTAAAAATACATGAAAACAAGTTAACACCACACATCATTTGAACAGGGCTCATCCTGTATTGTGTAAACAATACTCCTTGCCAATTAGAAGTAAAACTGTCAAACATCATGTATGCAGCAAGAAGAATCAATCCTGACACTGTTGTAACAGTTTCCCCTTAAAAGACATTCATTAATTAAATATTGTTATATTGTAAGAAAACAGATTTTTGGAAATTAAAAATAAATTAATAACTCAAACAAGCCAAATCACAGGCCTAACTCATGGAAATTCTATTGAATTCTTAATCTGAATTAAGGCTGTAACTAAAATACTTTAATTTGCTTTAAGTAAATAACTAAGCAGTTGATTTAAAATGTTACTTCTGGAAATTAAAATATAGTTCCTCATTTGAAGAAATTGTACTTGGGTAAACTGTGCCAATATAATACAGAATATTTAGATGTTATTACCTAATATGTTAAAATTTTCCCTGTGATTTAATTAATTTAATTTTTATACTCATTTTCAGTTTTATATAAAGGTTATATATAGCACTAAGACAAAATATTTCAGAAAAACAATTTTGTTATAATTAAATTAACAAATTATTGTCTATTATTTACATTTAATGTAATATCAACAAGTATTTATAAAATAAGTATATATAAGTAAACAGCTTCAGGAAGGCGCTTTTGGTCTGAGCTAAGTTTAGGAAATTATACTTATAATTATGTTAATAAAGGATATGCTTCAAGTTGTTCACTTATACATAGATTCAAGATAGTGTGATTTTGAATCATTGCTCAAAATAAGTGAAAATCATATCATTAATGGAATAAAGATAAATGCAGTCATACTTGTATTTCAATTAAAGTCCTAATAAAAACAATTTAAGTAGATCATTTTTTTTTATTATTTAGTGACTGTGCAGAGGCAATATTATGGTCTCAGTATTTAGCAAGTACAGTTATTTGCCACAGACCACTCATTTTTTTCCTGAGTGATATTCAGTAGCAGCAATTAGTTGAAAATTAAATCAGAATCACTTAGAAACTATAGAACTTGAAGTATAATATGAAAGAATTGATTGAACAAAGTTTTTGAAGGCTTGCCCTTGTTGAAGTATTAATTTATAAGGATGGGGTATGAGGGTGTCTACTACTAATGGTGGGGTGTTTCATAGCAATATGTTTAATTTAAACAATTTCTGTCATTAAATAGATACAATAAACTGTTTCAGTAGAGATTGAACAGATACCAGGTAATGGGAGAAGCAAGTTAAAATCATAAAATCTGAGTTTCATAAAACAGCTTCTTGCAACAGACACACAACAGTTCTCTGAAACAGCTACAATCCTCCGAAACAAATACAGTTCTCTAAAACAGTTACAGCCTTTTGAAACAGCTCCCTGCAACAGCTCTAATTTACTTTATTAAACTGTTTTGATTTAAACTGTTTGTTTTGAAAGGATTGGATATGGGCGGGACAACATCCGTGCTGGGCTATGCTGATGATCTGGTACTGCTAAGCGAAGACGTTGAAACTATAAAACTAAATACGACAACGTTAATGAAAGCCGGGAAAGAACTAGGACTCGAATTAAACGTGAATAAAACAAAATATATGGTTAGCTGCAAAAATGGCGATACTACTGGTGATATCGATATAGATGGTAATATGTTTGAACAGGTAAATAAATTTAGGTATCTAGGTTCTACGATAACTAGAAAAAAATGAAATTGAAGAAGAGATTAAGGTTAGACTGAAGGCGGGAAATGCTTGTTATTTTTCTGTGACAAAACTACTTAGTTCGCGCCTCTTGTCCCGAAACTTAAAAATTAGAATCTATAAAACAATTATCTTGCCTACAGTTCTTTATGGATGCGAAACTTGGCCGCTTACATTAAGGGATGAGCAGCGTCTTAAGGTTTTTGAAAATAAAGTATTGCGTAGAATATTCGGACCGAAAAAGGATGAGTTAACCGGAGAGTTCAGACAGTTACACAATGCCGAATTGCGTGAGATGTATCCGGGTAATATAATTGAGGTAATTTCATCGCGGTAATCAAATGGGCTTGTAAAGTTGTTGGGCTTAGTAACGAGAGAATTCCTAAAAGGTTAATATTTGCTGTGCCGAATGGTAAGCGTCCGAGGGGTAGACCGAAGCGAAGATGGGAAGATTGCATTAAAGCCGATCTGAAGGGACTGGGTTTGGACGGCGAACGGTGGAGGGAGGTGTGTAACAAGCGATTGGTGGTGTCGGCATCGAACCTTCGGGTTCGCTAAGCCTTATTATTATTATTATTATTATTATTATTTAAACTGTTTTGATAGCTGTTTCAATGAAACACTGGTCATAACATTGTTGCAACCTGTAAGACAGCTATGCAGACATAAAAACTTTTCTCTTCAGTATATACCAATTTATTCATCAGTCCAACGTTTCGGACTCTTTGGCCATCTTCAGAAGAGACATTTCTATTCACTCTTTGAACATTATAATGCTATTAATATTTGTTACAATTTTTCCTATATTCACACATATTTATTTAAAATCTATTTACAATTCATTTTTTATTTTACTTTCTTAATGTTTTCCCTTTATCTTCTGTTCTTCTAATGCATGTTATTAACATTTGTCTTTTTTTTCTCTATTCTTTTAACAATTTTATACCACACTTAATAAATTTTGATCATCACATTGCTGGCTATTTAAGTGGACTTCATTCAAATCCTTTTATTCTATCAACCCCTCTCACTTATATAAGTTTGTTTGGTTCTGCTCCTGACTATTGTCTTTATATCTTTTTCTATTTATTTATGATATGAGCATAGTGATTATTTAGATTTTTTGGATCAGTTTTATAGTTTATTGTTTTTTATATATTTTTAGTGATGTAGATTGCCTCTTCTGTTTTTTCTATTTTTGTGTGTTGCATTATGTTTATAATTTTTGTATTATTGAAATCAAAATTATGTGTTTTTACTATGTTATGTTGTGAGAGGGCAGTTGTAGATATTTTTATTTGTTTAAGCACTGGTATACATAAACATTTTCATTTTTATATTTCAATAATCTATACAATTAAATATAAAATAATACCAGCTTTAATATTTATGAAAATTTGCAGTTTCTCGCGACTTTTAGTTTTTAAGCTCGGCTGTTCACACACACACACACATAAACAAACACAGACCAAGAGAACTTAAATTGTGTATTTCCATTAAAACTCTAATTTAAAAATACTTCCCAGACAATATATATTAAATAAATAGATAAGTGAAAGTAATAAGCCATGAGTTTATTTTTTGAAAGAGAAACAGAAATGATTTGTGACATATTCGCAATGAACACAGGGGGAGGTCCTATTTGTTGGATAACGGTGAGTGAATATTTCCTTTAGGGCCTCCACTGTACACTTAAGTATCTTCTTATTTAAAAAAAAGAAATTGTTTCCCTTATTATATAACTGTATCATATTTTACTTATCTATTTCTGTTGCTATAATGTAGATATATAACCAAAGGAAATATATATTATTTCTATTTCAATTTTATAAAGACGTGGACGTTTTTCTGCTCATTGAAATGATTTCTGAATATCATTTAAGCTTTACAGAACATAAAAATAAAGTTTTATAGTAATTTTAATTTTGTGAGTTACCATACTGCAGTATCAGATTAAGATGAATTATAAAAGTGTATCATTCAAGTATTAATAATACTTCTAAATATATCATATAGTGTATACCTTTATTTGGAGCACTCGAAAGCATGAAAAATGTCATTCCTAATGAGATCAAAAGAGCGGTAATGTACTCATAATACTCATATTTCTGCCTTGAAACTAATTTACCCATTACCATTACAGGGATGAGTTTTGAAGCTTTCGCTAAAACCTGAGAATAACATCATAATCAATATCATTTAAATGACAACTACAAATTGAATCAAACAGTAAAAAAATACAAATCAAACCTGAGTTGGGAACGAAACAAATTTTAAGGCTTCATATTGACACCATGAACTCATAATATTCGAAAATGAACAGTAAGCATACTTGTAAAGAGGCATATTATGCCTAGGCTGTCGTCGCAACAAAATGTAGCTACCAGATAAACAGAAAGCCAAAATCCTATTTACAAAAACCAAAAACTGGGAATCAGTAAAACGACTCACATCCCCTTTGGAATTTGAATACTCCTGTAAAAATGATAATTAAAAAAGGTGTTGTAAACACAAAACAAAATGACAAAAATAAGGGTATTAGTTCACAAGTTTTCTGTCTAGGTGACATGTGGGATAAGATCACTCAATCACATCGATACATGGAGTACTGAAAAATCAATGTGTGTACAATAATACCACTTTGCAATAACATGAATATGTATGTTAGGTCATGTTGCATCCATTTTGTTCTTCGATGATAAAACATTCTCATAATGATAGGATATAATTCATTGTTTAAGTGATAATAAGTAATTACCCCAATATTATTGCACAAATGTCGCTCCACTTTCATGATCTCATGCTAACATTATAAACATAATTCCAATAATGGCTGAGTGCGGCCAAAAGAAGAAGGAAGTGACTGAAGCTTCTGGTAAGGCCCTAATCTCAATTGAAAAGAACCAGTTGGGTTCTTGCTTATCGCTTTTGAGTAAGTAAGTGGGAGTTAAAAGCAGTGATGCAATCAAAGCTTATTTATTAATACCCAATTTTAATTAAAAAAGAACAGTAAGGTGTTTGCCAAAGTCACTATTTAAGATCTAGACAAAAGAAAGTAATACTGTTACCACGTCAATACTCGGCTACTCTCAGAATCATATTTATAACGTGATCATGGACAGCCCACTCCTGAAAATGGAGTGCCACTTGTGCAGTAATTTCGTAACAGGTACCGTCACTACTTATAATATTCCCCCATAATTCTTCAATAACAATATTTCCATAATTACAGAACTAATAAGAAATAATTATTTATACAAGATTCAATAAAAACAAGTGGAATAAATGTTTCTATTTTTTATTCTTAATTATTTGAAGTAATTTATGTTGCTACATTATAAAACGTTATTACTTTATTGGTTACAACATTTCAGTTGTTTCCTAAATTTAATCACTTTTATTATATATGGATTCCAGGAATATTAATTATTATTATTCATAGTTGTGCTTAAAAAAAAAAAAAAAAAATATGGGGCGAGTCGTGCATCACACAACTCAAAGTGTCAAGGAAGTCAAAGTGAAACAACAGCATAATGGCATTTAAAACAGCTCTCAGCTGGTTCCATATAGCTTTCAACCCTTATTTCTCCTTTAGCTACTTATCAATTTTCTTCATTCATTATATTTAATCATTTTTTGTATCAGTTCCCATTATGATATGTTTAATTATTTCAAATAAAAAAAATTAAAGATACTTTAGAGGGAGAAATTTTGAAAATGAGGTATTTAAATACTGCTATAGAAAATCAATAAGAATAAGGCCTACAATGTATTCAAAACCGCTCAGTTTTGCACTGATATTTTGAATTTAATCAATCTGATATTATGAACAAAATCATTAAGAGTCGTTTTCGAGAACATTGTAAAAATGTGTAAAATCTTTATATGAATATATGAATTATATACATCTATATGAATAATTTATAAATAATTTTATATTTATATATATATGAATAAGGATAAAACCTTATTTATAATACAATCCACTTAATTGTACATTGGTGTAAGGCATTTGATCAAAATGGTTGGCGTCTTTCAAGAAATTGTAACATAAAAAGGCATTTTAGATTATATAAAATGGCACTTCCGGTAAGCTGATTTTGAAAAAAAAGTTGCTGTAACATCTCTGGCATGTACGAACCTTAAATACGCAATTTCAGTTTCATACAAATTTTCATTTTTGAGCTAGACTGTTCACATACATACACACAGACCATGTTGAGGGACTAAGTTATTTGGACTTAGGGGACCTCAAAGCATGTACTACTATATACCACATATATATAGGTAAGTAAAACCAAAAAACCATACACAGTTGATATTATCGTTATCTTAAGTAAAAGATATAAAAACTACGATGATATTCGATCATCATTAAGCAATATGATCTCAACAATATATACAATTCAGAGCCCACTATTGTCTAATCAGTAAGAAGTGAAGGTGATAAGCAGACATTATGACTATGTACTTCTTTAAGCAAACGGCTAGTTTTGGCATTCCATGGACATGTGATTAAAGTGATATTGGACAATACGTCACCCTAATAGAGTACTTGTGGACAAGTATTAAAATAAGCAAAACATTAAAAAGCAGATGAAAAAAAATATATAGACATCAGGAAAATATACCTGAGTCATCACTTTTTCTTGAAGAATCCCCCATGTTAGATATGAGCCTTGCAATCCCACGAAACAAAATAATAATAATAGAGTATCCTGCTTAAGAGATCTTACTGGAGTATCAGGAGTTACGTCAGTTAAATTGTTATCTCTTCCAATCACACAAGCTTCAATGATCCTGGCCAGACAACCACCTCCTAAAACAAACAGAAGTGTGTAAACTGGAACATGACTAAATGAATAAAATACTGAGTAAAGCATACCTGAACGCTCAAGGTACTTGCTAATATGTACGTATTTGAATATCAAATATCCAGGTATAAATATAGTAGCGTAACCTATAAGATTAAGTAAAAGTCTATACATCCATGTAAATCTAAAACTCCCATCATCAAATGGCACAGTACTGTTAGTACTAAACAGTGATGAAATAATATATAACAGCACAACAGTAACGAATATAACAAAACTGAAATAAGCAGAGATATTTAATTAAAATATTGGATAAAAAAATGATAAACCAGTGAAAAATTTGGCTTACCAAATTACAATCTGTGGTCCATTGTAGGCCATTTGATTTGAGTTAAGTTAAAGCCAAATAGAAATAAAACTAGCCAAACATTACAGTAAATTAAAAGTGGATTATTAAAAACAAAAATTCATAAAAGGACGGAAGACACCTGTGACACTACCCGGTAGTAACTCTGTTTTCAAAAGAGGGAGGTTGCAATTGATCACGATTCTGTCAAGAAAAGAGAAAGTTGACAAAGCTTAACTGCAGAAGCACGATTCCAATTACTTAACTCTTCTTAACATGCCTTTATAGACTGCCTTATTTATGCTGCTATGGGATATTGTAATCTGATTAACACACTACTTCAAATGGATAATATTTTTGGAACAGTATTATTTAGCATAACCCTTCATTGAGGCATTCTTACTGCCAAATATACTGTTCTTTTTGTTTTGTTTTTTCAATTTCAAATGGGTGCTCTATTACGGAGGAACAAAGTAGTTCACTAAGTAAAGCGGATATCACTCGGGGATCAATCCAGAGGTCGGGAGACACTCTTGTGGCACATTCATCCTCTGGGGTACCCTTAATAAGGCGAAAACCTGGTGGTTAAGCGTGATCTTATCAAAATCATCTACCGGAACAACCATTCGCTTAGAAAATGTTCTTCCTTAAAAAGTATTTGTTGTCAACTAAATAATATTTTTCAGTGCTCAATTCATTCTTATTAAATAATTAGATTACTCTAGTTACAACACTACTACAAAATACTGTCCCTTACATCGATGAAATTCAAAAAGTTACATAAACTTGGTGCGCAATCAGACAGTATTTTCATAAAAAGCACCTTTGACTAGAAAATAGTAACCCTTATGTCGAAGAAATCGAAAAAGTTACATGTTTATGTAACTAATGTAATGTGAGCCATTGAGCCATGCCAACATAGATTCCGACCACTACCTAGTGATAGCACGAATCAGAGCAAGAAACACTAATGTGGGATATAAGAAACAAGAAAAGACTAAGAAGAAGAAGTGGCAAGACACTGATACACGGGCGGATCTACGGGGGGAGGTGGCTTTCGGGCTGAAGCTCCCTCCCAAAATGTTAAAATATAACCATGTTTTATCTAAAAAAACATTTTAAAAGTATCTCTTAAAGTATTATTGTTCATGTAATTACATTTAAAATTGCTTTAGGAATCACTTAAACACCATTTCATACAGGTAGTTAGTTTCTTTCTTTTTTTCCAAAATAATTATTGTTATGAAAAAAAACTTTCGGGCTGAAGCCCCTCCCCCCAAAATCAAATCCTGCATCCGCTAATGCCTTGATATATACAACTCTTTCCAAGCTCACATAGGTAGAATACTGCATGTGACACTGGGTAATGCCATTAATGAAAACCCTCAGGCAGTATGCGACAATGTGGAGCTGGCAATTACAAGAACTGCGTATGAATACTCGACCTAAGGGAATGTGAAACAAGGTCACCTTGGTTTGATGAAGAATACCGAAGCGTAACGAAGCGGAGAACTTCTCCTAACAAACCATAGTGCAGAAACGGTTCACAAAGGGACCCATAAAGGAATACCGCAAAAGAATTAGGTGTATAAGGAGAAGAAGAAACAATAGGTAACAGAGGTATTGAAAGAAATAGAAGGTAGATTGATTTTTTTTTGTTTACCACAGTTATGTATTTTTCTAAATCTTTTATTAAATAAAAATGTTTAGCAAATAAATTTCGGATTATTTTACAATGAAATCTGAAAAAAGTTAAGTGTTCCAAACTTCCTTGTTCCTCTGTATGTCGTTGGAAAGCTGAGCATTTTAGAAAAAAACGATATCTTACATACAATGTCGTAAAAGGTAATGGAATTTGACGAAAAATTACAAATACTAGTTTGTGAAAACTAATATTATATAACGGAAACCACATATTTCCTAGAAATGAGATGAAATTTCCCAACTAATTTGCATACAGTTGCGTTCCTTGTAACTTTGTATTAAAAAAAAGCAAATGTTCCCGCAAAAAAAAGGCCATACTGTCCCAAAACGGCGTCCAAAATCCGGATTGACGTCTTTGACTTCAGTTAGTTTTTTGGTCACTGAGATTCAGCATTTAGCCTAATTTCGTCATTATTGGCCTTTTATTTAAGCTGTATGGTTATAGAATAATAAAAAATGAAAACATAATAATTGACCTACATAATAAAAACACCAATAAAGTCGTTCAAACTAATGTTATAATACAAGCATCGTTTGTAAATAAACGGCCAAGAATAATGATAAATGCCCCAAAATAAAACACCTGGAAAGTATATTTTTCTTTCTAAAACACCGATTACTTTTTAAAAAATTTGAAGGAGTTACATAGAAAATACACTTAATAGGCGGAAAAGTGGTACTGGCATAAGTTCCTAGAGTCCTCTGCCATATCATCCAATAATAAATGGCATAGTTATAGTGTTATAATAACGTTTTTAGTACACTATTTTGATTGTATTAACGAACAAAAAATATTAATAACAAAAAATGTTGTGAGGAAATCAGTCTTGAGATTGTAATAATTCGTAAAAACATAAAGGTTTGTTATTTTGATAGTATTAATTATTGAAAAATGTATTACAATAAAGTTCATTTAAAAGTAACAAGAAAAAAAGTAATTGTTGAAAACCAAGTTCATTAAAATAAGTGGAAAACAGCAAAAATAAAATATTTTATTTTATTAATCTTAACGGTTTTGTGAATTTCAAAAAATTTCTTTTTAGCTGTTTTTATTTAAGTAGTCAAGTTTAGAGAAATGTGTTTCCTAGTAATGGTAAATTGTGTGTGCTCTAATATTTAATTTTTAAAATTGTGTCTATGTCATCTACAAAAACAGATAATTATTTTTAAAAAAAAAACATGTTTTTTACGAATTTTCAAAACCTTACCCATTTTGAAAACTGGATAGTTCACTTTCTGTTTGTTTAGGAAAAATGTTATGTACAAAATTGTTGGATATTTTTAAGCTGTTTAAGATTGAATATGAATATTTTTTATGTATGTCGTTTTAAAAAGGTGATATTTAGCGTAAATCAAAAAAGTTCGAAAATCCATTTGTTTTATAGCACTCAGGAGAACCCACTAGATTTTCAGTGGAGGAAACATGGATTTTTTTTATATTCACTATATAAGATAGACCCCATTTTTTTGTGTGCTAATAATTAGTGTTAGTTTGAATTTGGACTTCATTCTGATATTCACTTTTAATTATGAAATTTTAATTTTAAAAAATGTGTGAAGTTCAATTACCTCTTTGGCCACTCTTCATAGCTTTGCTTGACGGGAATACTATAAATGTTTGAACATTTGATTGTTTACTGGTTTTGATAGATCCTTTTGTTGCTTTAGATTCACAGAATTATAATTATACTGTTATGATGTTTTGATTTTATTTCATTAATTGCACCAGAAGTAGGAGATGATCACAATCAATTATGACTCTATCCTATAGATGTCCTGGATTATATTGTGGTCGGGAACTTTTAAGCAATGGAAGCTGGAGTGATTGTGGAGCATGTCCTAGAGGTTTTAGAGCTAACACATCTTCGTTTTGTGTTCCATGTAGTAATACACCAGTTTTGTATGACTGGCTCTATTTGGGTTTTATGACATTTTCTCCCCTTGTTCTGCATTGGTTTTGTATTGATAATACTACCCCTTTCAGAGGAAGGTATTTAGATACATTTATGTTTATCCTAAAATAATGGCCAATAATTTAATATTTATCTTTTTTTTTTAAGGCTAAGTCGAGGTGCGCTTGTCCTACACTTATCCGCGTTAGTAGAAACAGTACTTGCAGCCTTTTCAACAATTTTAGTAATTGAACCCTATGGAAAATTAGATTTGAAAGCTTGTCCTGTTAAATCTCTATCTGATTGGTACACACTTTTCCATAATCCAAGACCAAACTATGCAGAAACCTTGCACTGTACACAAGAAGCAGTGTACCCTTTGTATGTATATTTTTATTATGTTTAATTAGGTTTTGACAAATTTCATTTTCTTATTTAATTAACTAACCCTAAGGTGTTATACGTTAAAGTGACTCATTAACAGTTCTCTAGTGTTATGTCTGGTTGACAGGTGAGTCATTGATCTCAATATATACACCAGTGAGTCTTAAAATACCTTAAAGGCAACTGATTAGAAAATAAATTATTCTATCTTACCTGTAAATAAATTATGGAAAGTATTTGATGAATTACAAAGGATCCATCTGCCCTGATAACGATCCTGATTTTACTTTAGAAATATTGCTTCTCTTTGATGGATAGTAGGCATAAGGTCTCATGATCACATGATAAAGGAAATGAGAATGGCCGAGTGGTGCTAAAAGTAGAGAGAGGTGACCATTTCGAATAATGCACAAATACTGACATGTTGATTGTATAACATCCTTTTACTTAGATCTCCAATAAGCCTTTTTCTTGGGGCCTGTAAATCCCTTTAGAGTGGACGGAAATTGAAATAAGCAATGTAATGAAAGCAAATGAAGGCCCCAATTTTAACTGAAAAGGACCAGTTCCGAGTTGACAGTAATTGTAAATCGCGATCTAAATAAAAGGATGTTATACAATCAATATGTCAGTATTCGCCCATTTTCTGAATTCTATTATAGTACAGTGTGATCATGAAATTGTTACCCAGCAATTAAGAAGGTGCAATACTTGTTGAGTATTACTAGGATCCTCTGTTTGGTAAGGCCCTGAAAACTGCTAAAAGTGCATCTTAGGTAAAGATTAAGATTTATCTTCCTGGGCATAGTGAGTCTACCTGTCAACTGAGATATTAACACTTAAATTTTCATCTACTGTATGATCGGCGTGGTCTGGTTTAGTCACCTCTCATCCAGAATGATTGTGAACTATAGAAGTTATATTTGTCTACTACAAAATGGTATTCAAGAAATAATAAATTACTAATTATGAAACCTTATATTATATGAAATATAATTAAACTAATAAAAATTATCATCATTGTATTCTCTCCTCTAGTACCACCTATGCAGTGTGAGGAGGAAGTCTATAGATCTTTCTCCAGATCTGCCGATCTTACACCAAACGCATTCTCTCATTCACTTCGAGTCCTCTTTTTCAGGAAATCCTTTTTAACTTCGTCGTCCCATTTATTTCTTGGTCGATCTTTTCCTCTTCCCGTCATCCTTAGCTTGATAGACCTCTAGTAATTCTAGTAGCTTCCATTCTTAGGAGATGACCCAGCCATCTCAGTCTGTTCTCTTCTATAACTTCATAGGCTGGTTTAACATTGAGGTTCGCCCTGATTGTAGTGTTGCGGATTTGGTCTCTTCTTGATTGATGCTTTTTTGTTAGCATCCATGATTCTGAGGAATATGCTAGAATGGAGAGAAACGTTGACCTAAACACAACCAGTTTTATCTTCTTGTCCACCTGTCTGTACAGGAAGCCAAGTCCCGCAAAATGGTCTGTGTGTTAACAGTCTTGCTCAAAACAAAAACTCTAAGAAAGTGACATTGCATTTTTAAGATTTTTATGTGTCTGGGATGTTACAGTATTTTTTCAGTCAAAATTGACTAATTGGAAGTGGCATTTTATGTGACTGATTTAACACATTTTTACGATTTTCTTGATACGGCTTTAACAATTTTTATTGAATTTGTTATATTAGTGAAAAATTTAGCAGTTTATAGTATAATGTAGGTTTTATTCTCATTGATGTTCTCTAACAGGGCTTAAATGGCTAATTTCCAATACTAGCTTCCTCTAAAGTACCTTTAAGTTTTTTTATTTGAAACAATTAACCATTTTACATTGATCTCTGATATATAAAATAATTAAATATAAAATATGAAAGAATTTGATAATTAATTAAAGGAGAAATAAGAGGTCTTAACAGAGAATAGTTGTAATGGAAGAACCAAAGGAATAAGAGCTCGCTCTAAAGATTAGAACAGGGTTCCATACATAAGATAAGCTTAATATAACACTGACTACATGTGGTTTTCATAAATGCTATCGTTGGTATTATTTAGTATTTAATTGTATATATTACAGTGATATAAATATTAAAATTTGCATATATAAGGGTACTTAAACAAATATAAATAAATATATCGTTTATAATTTTTACTTTCACTTCCCCTTTGTCTGAAAGTACTTGTTTCTGATAAGTAGAGGGTGATAAGTGAAAGTGAATGCAGTAAATTAAAGGCAAATATAATAATCAATTGAAAATACTCAATATAATAAATTAAGTAGAAGTCTATAAGTATCTCAAGTGTATAAAATAAATAACAGAAATATAAAAAATTAAGCAGTGAGAATAACAAGGAAAATGTTAAGTACAAGTGAAAAATGTAAAAAGAATGAAAACAGAAGAGAATAAATATAAATTAAAATAATTTTGCAATAAAAAAATTGAAAATTATTTCTAAAAATGATAGAGAATGAAAAGGTAATGAATAGAAATAATATTTTACTGCTGAAATAGTTACTTGTTTTAATTTTTTTTTTAAGCTCTAATGAAAGTCACTACAGACAAAGGTCACCTACAGTACACACCCTAGGGTCACCTTCCCTAGGTAGCCGCCCCGGATGGGGGAGCTAGTCAGGATGCTCGGAGGAGGCAGCCCCTCTACCTGACTCGGGGGCAGTGGGCTGATAACCCACCCCCCCTAAAGTACCTTATTACGAAACCTCAAAGAGAAGAAGCCGGACTGAATTACGGTAACAGACCCAGGAAACGCCTAAATGACCTAAGAATTGGATTTTGGAACATTTTATCATTACATAGACTAGGAGCACTTCGTGCGCTCCTTGCAGAAGTGGACACATACAGAATCGACATAGCAGCTATCCAAGAGGTCCGATGGATAGGACAGGGAATTATGGAGAAGAAGTACCATACACTCTACTATAGCTGCCATGAAAAGCATCACATCTTCGGTACCGGATTTGTTGTGAGAGGCAGAGCTCGACAGTTGGTGATGCGATTTACTCCCATTAACCAAAGGTTATGCTACATTCGGCTTAGAGGAAAATTTTTTAATTTCTCTCTAATCAACTGCCATGCCCCAACAGAGGTGTCACCTGAGGAGGATAAGGAAGCATTTTATGAAGAACTTGGACGCGTGACAGAAAGCTGCCCCAAAAATGATGTTAAAATCATTCTTGGTGACTTTAACGCACAAGTTGGTAAGGAGGTGGCACTCATGCCGACCATAGGAACCCACAGCTTGCATGAGACCAGTAATGATAATGGGCTACGGATGGTGAACTTTGCTACATTGCACGGACTGGTTGTTGGAACAACTCTTTTTCCTCGAAAGAATATCCACAAAGCAACATGGACCTCTCCAAATGGGCAAACAGCATCACAGATAGACCATGTACTCATTAGTGCCCGTCACAAGTCCAACATGATAAATGCAAGATCTTATAGAGGTGCAAATATGGACACGGATCACTATTTGAGCATTGCCGAGGTCAGATCACGAATTTCGCTGATTAAAAACCACTACCAACGACCAAAGAAGAAGATTGATGTGGTTAAACTTAAGGACTCAGACCACCAATATTCGTATCAACAAGCTGTGGAGACGAAACTTAACGAAGAAGTAATTAATGACAGCTCTATGGTCGATGAACAGTGGAAGAGATGCAGCAACGCAATGAAACAGGCAGCAGAAGAAGCTCTTGGCTACGAGACTAAATCTAGAAGGCCCCCATGGTTTGATGCTGAGTGCCTTCAAGCAGTAAAAGTGAAAAATGAAGCCTACAGAAAGAAGGTTCAGCGTCCCACAAGGCTCTCCCAAGAAACATATAGAAGAAAAAGACGCGAAGAGAAGAGATTATTCCGCGGAAAGAGAAGAGCTTGGGAAAATAAGAACATGGAGGACACAGAGGCATTGCGAGGCCAAAATGAAAGTCGCCTGTTCTTTCAGAGAATAAACGAGGGTAGGGCAGCTTTTAGGCCCAGAGTGACGGCATGCAAAGACACAAATGGAACTCTTTTAAGCCACAAAGATGACGTACTAAGGAGATGGGTACAACATTTCAAAGGCGCATTAAACAGAGGAACGGTGCCTGGAGAAGTAGGTGTAATGAAGGAAGACTCCCTGAATTCTATTGAACCCCCGGATGAGGAGGAAATGGAAAACGCCCTAAAGAAATTGAAAAATGGAAAGGCGCCAGGCCCGGACGGAATCCAGTCAGAGCTGTTGAAATGTGGAGGTGAAGAACTCAAGAAAGCTCTGCATGATTTAATGCTGACCATCTGGGAGAAGGAAGCTATGCCTACGGAATGGGCAACAGCCATTATCTGCCCAATACATAAGAAAGGAGATCAAACAGAATGCGCTAACTATCGAGGAATCTCACTCCTTTCGTGTGCTTATAAGCTGCTCTCTAACATTCTTTTTGAGAGGATCCTCCCGTATTCTGAAAAGGAACTGGGGAAATATCAGGCTGGATTTCGAAGAGGACGCTCAACGACTGATCAACTGTTCTCTCTGAGGATGATCCTAGAAAAGACTATGGAGCGTAAGGTAGTCACCCACCATTTATTCCTGGACTTTAAAGCAGCATACGACAGCGTTGATAGAACGCAACTATACTGTGCCTTGGAGGAGCTAAGCATCCCTCAGAAGCTCGTACGCCTAATCAAGATGACCATGGCCAGCTCGAGATGCAGAATACGTGTCGGTTCTGACGACTCCGAAGAGTTTAAAGTGAGCAGTGGGGTTAGGCAAGGGGATGCCCTCGCCTGTCTATTGTTCAATTTGGCAGAGGAGAAAGCTGTAAGAGACTCCGGTATTCAGACCAAAGATATAATCTTCAATCGCCTGACACAGCTTCTTGGTTTTGCTGATGATATTGACATAGTAGGTAGGTCTGAACGGGCTCTCAGAGAAGCGTTTATAAGCCTTGAAGCAGCTGCAAGACCACTTGGTCTAGAAGTCAACGAGAGGAAAACTAAGTATATGAGAGTTGGCGGTGAGGTTGATCTGAACTCTCCATTTGAGGTAGGTTCTTTTAAGTTTGAGAGAGTGAAAAGTTTCATATACCTTGGGTCTGAAATCAATAGCAAGAATGACATGGCTCAAGAAATACAAAGAAGGATCACGGCTGCCAATAGATGTGTCTTTGGACTTGGCCGACACTTAAGAAGTAGGTACCTCTCAAAGAAGACCAAGCTGATCATATACAAGACCCTTGTTCGGCCTGTTTTGACATATGGCTCAGAGGCTTGGACGATGACCAAAAGGGATGAGATGAAGCTGAGTGTCTTTGAGCGAGGAGTCCTCAGAAGGATTTATGGTCCAGTAAAGGAGGGTGATGTCTGGAGGAAAAGAAAAAATAGGGAGCTCAGTTCTCTCTATGCAGACATCGACGTAGTCACGTATATTAAACTGGCCAGACTAAGGTGGGCAGGGCATGTGGCCAGAATGAGCACCCTTGAAATACCAAAAAAAATAATGATGGAGGAGCTGCACCTCGTAAGACGGGTAGGAAGGCCGAGGACGAGATGGTTGGACAACGTGGCCTATGATGCGAGAACCCTGCTTGGTGTGCGGAATTGGAGAGCTGCAGCAGAAGATAGAGCCAACTGGCGGAGGCTCTTGGAGGAGGCCCAGTCTCGGTGACGGGATGTTGTGCCATACATGAATGAATGAATGAAAGTCAACAAGATATTTTAAACATCAGCATTACAAATATTGTTTGCAGCATTAAAAAATGTTTATTTTACTGATTCCTTATCTTGTTTATTTTAAGATTTTACAGACTGAAATGATAAATATATTTTAGTTTTAAAAATTATTTATTCTCAACTTAAAAATGTTTTTAAAATAAAAAAAAATTGCGCCTAGATTATGTGAACTTTTTTTTTTCGTGTTTGTTAATGTACAAATATATACAATAAAATAATATATATATAAATACAGTAAAACTTCTCTACAAGCTATCACCTAACAGAAATCCAATTTTTTCTACCAAGAGAGATGTCCAGTTTAGAGAGACTGGAAGTAGTAAAATATGATATAAAATATATGTCATATAAATGTAATCATTTATTCATTTTAAAAATATTTTTATTTTTTAAATTTACCATTCAAATATATTTTTTTATATAAAAGTGTATGTATAAAACATAAACTTATATTTAAAAAAAAATAAAGGTTCAAATTATATAGAATAGTAATCTGTAATTTTTGCTTGAACACAAGCTTTTGTGGTTGCTATTTTCTAAGTATAACCTGACAACAATTATTTCTCTTGATGATTTTTTACTTGTTTATAATAACTGTTATTATGGTTTGGATTTAAATTTAATATATATGTAGTTTAAGGAGAAGTTGGTGGGATTAGTGGTCAAAGAAGTTGAAACATACTGATATGTGAGATTTATATTTATTTTGGGCCTATATTTCGTCCTATTTTGTATATGTTTGTAATTTATATACTGGGGCTGTTTAGAGGTGTTGAGAAAAAAAAAAAAAGAATGTTGGTAACGGAAATGCTTAGCAACTCCTTATTATCATTAGAATGTTGGAAAATGGGATAAAGTCCTTCAAATTTATCAGACAGCCTCAAAAAACCTGCATAATACGAATCCTTAATATTCTTAAAATTATTTTGAAGTTGGTTTCAAGATACTTATTTCTGCTCTTAAAAACGGTTAACCCATCACATTAACTGTACATGTTTTCACAGAGCTTTATTTCGTATGTGTAGATTGTTTCATGTAGCTTAATTGCTTACAATCTATGCAATGAAATTTTTCTTTTATCATTTAGTTTAATTCTTTTCATTTATATTCTAATTTTCATTATTCAACAATCTAAGACTTAAGTTAACCAAAAAGATCAGTGAAAATAATTATCACATTTTTAACCTACTCCTTACAGACATTAAGGTGTTATAAAAGATATAGAAGATAATCATTGTTCTATTCATTGACGACTTGGCTATAATTTTTAACAGCTTAATTCATATTAGGATGAAACAAAATTGTCAGGAATTTTAGTCCAAAATTTGTTTCATCCTTATAATTGAACATTCTATTACTTAGCCGTCTTGAAAAAATTTTTATTTCTAGGCATACTATGGTGTTTATATTTTATGGATTATGTGTTACTATCATGCTGCTAATTAGGCCTTGGCTGGTTCATTTCTTTTTACCAAAAACGGGAGGTGCCACAGTTTATGCAGCTTTATATTTTTTTCCAATATTATCATTACTTCATGCCATATTTGGAGGATTGATTTGTGAGTGTAATCCATCAATATTTCTTTTTCTTAAATATAAGTAATAGATATAATCTACATTCATAAATGTTACCTATTACATTCATAAATTATATTTGTTATTTTTTTTAGATTATACCTTTCCATATATAGTGATAGTCCTTTCAGTTATTTCAAATGCTGCTCATTTTGCTTTTAAAATGGATCAGGTAAATATTAATATATATGTGTGTGTTACTATTTTTTATTATGAGCTATCAAAACAACTGAATTATCTTTTTTTGATGTTCCAGTCAATGAAGTTCCATGTGGTGAGCACAGTTACCGATATAAGAAATATGATTATTGTCTTGGGTCATTGGGTTGTACATGGCTATGGAATTATATCCCTTACTCAACTTGGTGAACCTGTCTTCCATTCTACTCTCCTCTGTTTGGTTCCTTTACCTGCAATCTTTTACATTATTACAGCCAGGTTTACAGATCCTCACAAACTCCATGCAGATTAACTTTTTACCTGCCAACGTCTCCAAGTGGTTACAATGTTTTAAAAATGTTAGAGACTGAAATTAATTCTTAACAAGTAAATTCAAACAACAAATATTTCATTTGCATACTACACTGTGTTAATATTTTTTGTTGAATTATTCATTTATATTTCTTATACATATAATATGTACATTTTTAATCATATTGAACAGTAAATTCAGCCATTTTCTTTATTAAACCAAATAATATTGTCCCAGTTGAAAACGTTGGTGGGTAAATTGATCTTTATTTCCTTTTGGCTTCTTTTTCCATATTGAATGTTGAGAACATAAGTTTTCATTTCCTATTTAAAAATGTCAAGGCCAAAATTCTTAAATGATATTTTTATTGTTATTAGTAATATGTTATATTGATACTTGTAAATAATTATTGTACATATAAATTAACGGTGAACTCCTGTATCCAATAATTTATTTCTTTAAAAATCTCATTTCATTATTCATGTTGTCATCTTAATTTTCTTCATTATTCTATAATGTTTCTGTACATACATGTAGAAAAAATATATACATATTTTTATGACTGTTTTTCATTCATTCATTATACAATTTTGTCTTTTAAATAAATTAATGATTAATATCTAAGAACTTAGTCAGGGATGCAGTCAACAGTCACACACATATGTTGGTGTAATATTTAGTGAATAGCCTTCTTCTAAACTGGGCAGAATGATGCCATTGATGAGCTCAGTGCTTTGTTTTGGAACTTATCCACAATTTTATTTTCTAAATAATGTTAGGTTTAAGAAATTATTATTTGCAGTTGTTTCATTTCTCTCCATTACCTTTTAGGAATTTATATGTTAGATATATGTTGTTTTAAAATCATAGCTTTCCAAGGAGGTTTTTCTTAAGAATTGCAGAGGAAAGTAGAAGAGACTGTACCTAGAATACATCGACTGTTGTAACAAAAAGAGAGGACATTATTTCTGTCAAGCCAAGAACTTTGAATAATAGAGAATGAAGAAATGGAAAGGACGGTTTTTGAGGTAAAGTAGAGGAGAGAAATGTAGAGAACTAACGAGGTGCCTGGAACTGATGAGAAGAGCCTCAGTTTTATCTGCATTCAGCTTCACCTATTTTTGTTTTCCTGTCCACCTGTGGATACAGTCAATGTCCTGTTGCAGTTTTCGTGTAGACTCAGGCATCTCAGATGGTTAAGATAATAGGTAAATTTGGAAATCGTCTGCATATAACTGATAGTGGGAGTGATAAATGGAGTCAGGAAGGTCGCTAATATAAATGAAGGAAAAGGTCGGAGAGAGTTAGAGCCCTGAGGAACATCTTGTGATAATTGAAGAGACAAGGAAGGAGATTTGTTAAAAATAACAACTGTCTGGGAGCGATAGGATAAAAAAGAAAAGAACCATTTTAGAACACTATTCGATATGGGTAGGCTTTGTAGTTTGGAAAGGAGGATATTATGATTGACAGAAGCAAAGGTTTTTAATATGTCGAAAATGACTAGGATGAAGATTTTCTGTTTATCTATGGTCATCAGTGATTAGAGGTCTTTCTTAATCTTTAAGAAGGCAGATTAGATAGAGTATTGGGAACGAAATCTGGATTGTAAAGAATTGAGGATACGGTTTTGCTCGAGAAAGTTATTCAACTGTTCAAAGCTAATGAAGGAGCAGAAACTTTGTTCAACCGGTGGTCAATGAATTTTTCCAGGCTTTAGGAAAAATGGAGTTTTGGAGGGAAAAACTGAAGATGTGTAGTAGTATAGGAAATAAGGTTGCAAGGCATGGTTTGGTGATTTTCACAGGTATTTGTTCAGGGCGTCATTGGTTTTGGATTTAAGGATAGTAGAGAGTAGGTCAGGTGGAGAAATAACAAGAAAGTAAAACTTGTCAAAGGAGGTTTCAATGATGGAAAAAAAGGTGAGAGGTAAAATGTGAATACAGAAAGATGGTCTGCAAAAAAAAAAATTAATTCGTTTGAATCTACTGGATAAAGTGTGCAAGTTTTGGAGCTTATGGCAGAGGTTCCTGAGAATTGTCCATTTGGATTTAGGATTAAGGTGTTTGGGATAATATATATTATTATCACGCTTTGGCGCAGCGTAAGGATGTTTATGTGCTGTTTTGTAGAAATTTGAAGATATAGTGATAGAGCAGTCATGTACATCTATATCAACTTCTGACAGCCTCTCTTATTCTCATTAACTCTTTAATTTCTAAAGCGAAACATTATGGATTCAGATTGTCTGCTAAAAGGAATGTAGCAGTTTTTTTTAACGAACGGCTGGATCGAAACGAAAGTTTGATCGCTCAAAATATTTGTTGAGATTCCATGAGTGTTTTGAAACAATGTGAGCTGAAAACACTGACTAGTGGTGGAATAAAATGTGCTTAATCAATTTGTAAAAACATATATACCAATTATTTCAGCGAACGGCTGGAGCGATTTTCATGTTTGATATGTTAAATCAGGGGTTTCCAAACTACGGCCCACGTAAGTTGCTTTGAATACATAGTAAAATGTTAAAAACGATTTAAAATATGAAATTTAATAAATCTTCGCAACAGGAGGCTATTACATTTATTCAATGAAATGTTTCTTTAAGCAAGCTCATTTCACAACTGAAGAGTCATTTAACAAGATTATGTTTTTTCATCACAAGTTATGGTCCGCGGGACTTAGTGGAGTCCTCCCTGGCCTCAGCAATTCTGATTGAAGTTTTGTGGTACTTTTACCACTAATTCTCTGATTTTTCTTTCTTCTAATCCATTGGAGGAGGCTGAAATGATTAACTCACTCTGATTCTTTCCACCCGTGCACGAACGTTTCCTAGTAGGGAAAGAAAATTGTCTTCTGTAATGATGTATAGTCGTTTCCTTCAGTAGTTTGGCCCTAATTGTCTCAATAGTGGTGCTGGTTGTGATGTCATGCTCAGCAATTGTGTTTAAACCATTTTGGATGAAATGAAATATTCTAGGTAGATAATAAACTCCATTATAACCATCATATTCTTTTTTTTTATTCTTATTTTGCCCAAAACATTACATTTACTGTTGCCCTACGTCAAGAGGGATGGGAGTGTGTATATATATTTATAGATAATCCTACTTTTCGGCACCTTATTAGAACTATAAAAGTTGGGGTACATTTTGTCATAACTTTGGCATATCTTAGCGGTTTGTAAAGTTTTGTGCAAATGTACAGCCCCTCCAAATCTGGTCAAAAAATGTATATGTAAACTGAGTTGGTGTTGAAAAAGTGCTCCTCAACTTTTTAAATATTTTGAACGCATTCACAGCCCCTTCTAATTGAGATAAATGGTTGAATATTTAAATTTGAATGTTGGTTGTCAGAGAAGTAAATTTTTTTAGTCTTAACATTTTATATCCCCCCTACCATTGATAAATTAAATTTGAAAAGAAAATTACAAAATGTTAAAGAACAAAACATGACAAAGAACTTGAGCAGTTCAATTGATTTTAAAATTATATTGTATTTCCTCAATTATATCCCAATGAAACAAATTTTCATGTTTTCCAAACAAATTTATGGGAAATTTCTATCTTAGCAGGGAAGAAGCTGAGTTACTCATAATTGTTTTTTATTATTTACTATATTTGCTTATTTACTATGTTTAGAAAAATAAGATATATTTACTTTTTTAGTTTCTAATAATTATGTTTTTTACTACATTTTTCCCCCCTACATTGTGTTTTATGTGCCAAAAAATTTCAACATCAGAGAAGAGATAAAGAATTTTAATTAAAGTTAAAGTTGATGTACATTGTCGTCTTTAATTATGATACTCATTCTTAAAATTACTATAAAAGATCATCAAGGATGAAAAAAATAAGAAAAGAAAAAAACTAGACCATTTTATATTTAATTTGTACAAAATTCTTATAATAGAGGAAACAGTATATACAAAGTGATAATTATATACATTGTTGGAGGCGGAAACACTTATCCAGAGCATCCTCGACACCCACAGTGGATGCATTCCACAATCTTACCCTGAAAAAAAAAAAATAGGTATATAGATTTTCAATATACAGAAAGATTGTAATTTTTAATTTCATTTATCTATACATGAAATATACGGTATGAAAAAGTATTGTAATCATGAAAAATTTTCAAATCCGACTTTTTCAACAGAAATATAAGGCCTTCTGAATCTAAATAACAATCTTTAAAATATGAATGTATAGGAACAGCCTAGTTAAAATATATATATATATAAAACTGAAATAATGTATTTAAGGTATGACGCGGACAGGCAGGGAGTAGCAAAAGGAGTAAGGTGCTGTCTTCCAATGTTCAAGGTCTTGGGTTAGAATCCAGCTGTGGCAGCTAATTATTTATTCTCGTAGCATTTGCTGTGGATTGACCCTGTGACCAGGAGACCTCCTAGAGCAAACCAAACCTATATAAAGTGAGTTGGCAAAGTGAGTAAAATTAAATAATTCATTAAGTTGAAAAACCTGGCTGTTGAGCTTAATCTAGCCCCAATCACTTCCCTACACAATTGTTTGCCTTGAAACAATACTTGCTCCCTAAGTATAGAACCCAAGACCCTTTTGGATTATAGTGGTATAAGTTTTTCAAATTTATTTATTTATTTTTATATATCTGGAATGTTAAGACAAATTTCTTACATAGCATTTTATTTGACAGATTTTGTATATTTTTCAATATTCTTGAAAACAGTTTTAATGATTTGGTAAAATTCATCATATTAATGTAAAATTAAATGGTCTTTAATATCAAGTAGATATTAATCTCATTGAAATAATCCAACAGAGCTAAAATGCCAAATTTTCAAAATGGTTTCTTCCAAAGTTTCTTTTTTTTAATTTAAAATAATTAACTTTCTAATTTCGTTAGTAGTAATAAAAATGGATAAACATAAACTACAAGATAATTTTATGATTGACTAAAGGAGAAATATTTTCACAAGTTTAAAACACTCATAATAATAATACTTTATTTATTCTGGGACAAGTTCCTTTAGAATAATACAGAAATTTGGGCTAAGAAGCCTCAAAGATATATAAATAATATTCACAAAATAAATTAATAGTCATAATACAAAAGTATCAGTTACTTTCTGAATTTAATCAAATAATAAAATATAAAAAAATTATAAGACACAAGTAAAAATAATTAAGTATGATCTAATAACTTACAATAGTATTAATTATAAATTTACAATTTTATGGGGACTGGATAGATAAAAAATGGTTAAACAGGTGGGATTTTAAAGTAGGGAGGGTATTAGAGCGATGGATGTGCAAATGGATGGAGATCCACAGGGATGAGGATCAGATAATGAACGATCTGTCAAAAGCAGCAGTTCGGTGAGCTGTATTATGTAGATCTGAAGACCTACAGCGGGAATGAATCGAGGATTTGAATTGAAGGAGTTCGGAGATGCATGAAGGACGCAGGATTGGATGATCTGAAACAGGATGCCAGGAAATACTGACGATGGTAGGAAGGATAAAGCCACTTCAACTCTTCATAAAAATGGAAAACAGGCCTCCCTTGGGATCCCGAAGATGCAT